CACTAAATTTTTTTTATGTGTGCTGCCAGGGATGGGCAGAATACATGCAAATATGTATCGAAATACAAATACAAAATACTTTCTCAAAAATGTATTTAATTACAAATCTAATTACATTTCCAAAAAAGCATTTAAGTACAAGATACAAATACAACCAAATGTATTTGGTCTCTTCCAAATACTTTTCAAAATACATTCCTCAAAATTTGCGTCAGCGACTTCAGGGCACCTTCAACGGGTTTCTGGGTATCTCATTTTAATTTTTTGCATTGCAAACTCCGGAGTTAGTGTACGAGGCTCTAGTAATGTAACAGAAATATAATCACAAAAAATGTAATCAGCTTGGACGTAATACGCCTCGCAAGTGGGCTCATTTTCGTCTTCTGCGCATGAGAAAGGAAGTAGCGGTGACGTCAGGACGCCGAACCCTGATTGGCTGATCGCGACCCCCTATCAGAGCGTCGTCTGCTCCTTTGCAACGTCGTCTGCTCCTTTGCAACGTCGTCTGCTCCTTTGCAACGTCGTCTGCTCGCAACGTCGTCTGCGTCTGTCTTACCTTTCCTATGACTTTCGGAGCGAACTCGACTTCGTCTCTAAGAGAGGGCAGACGAAATAACTCGAGCGGTACGTTGTTTTTGTCTAACAACTAGCAGACGCGCATCAAGGAGGGAAGTCAAAGGACTCACTGGCGAGGTGTCCCAAGGCGCCGAGGTTTGTTTGCTAAGAAGCGAGAGTGAGCGTGTTAGTGTCCGCAAGTTCCCTCCCAAATACTTTTTCCCTCCTTTCGTGTGCGGCGAGACCCCTCCCTCTTTAACGGCGTCGGCGGGTTGGCGCAGTTAACGTCGTCTGCTTTACGTCTGCTAGTCAAAGCGATGGCTGCTTTACCTTTCCGGCGTCTGTCGGAGATTCACCGCTTTTCCACCGGCGAGAGTCACCGTTGCCTGGGGAAACAAGGAGATAACAAGAGGAAGAAATTGACCTCTTAATCTAAAATTGAGGTCAGCGATCAAAGTATAATACGGGAAGGGTTCACAAGGGTCGAGCGTGCATATTCCATTCAGCACGCCAACCGGTCGTGGGCAGACGGTCGCCGAGTCGCGGAGTGCCTGCTAGGCCTAACTGCCCAGCTCGTTTGGTCGCGTTCGGTGGAATCGTGGCCGTTGGAGCTTTTCCCGGGTGCTTGCGGATCCAGCGTTCTTGTTCGTCGTGGTCTGTTTCAAGTACTTTTTACTTTTTTTCTTGCTGCTTGAAGTCGGGACGCGTCAGAAGCGCACGTAGAAAAATAAACGTCCGTGGGTCGTCGCGACCGCGACGTTGTCGGCCATGCTGATTTGATCGTAAGAAGTTCGTAAGACAGCTTCGGAGCTGTCGTAGGATTTCGTCGTAACCTGCGCAAAACTTACGAAAATTTCGTTTCGTGATTACGAATTTGTTCTTAAGTTTTGTCTTACGCACATTTTTGGCGTAAGATCGTTTCGTGAATCTGGCCTCTGCACTTCCGAAAGTCGCAGGAAAGGCAAGACAGACGCAGACGACGTTGCGAGCAGACGACGTTGCAAAGGAGCAGACGACGCTCGGATAGGGGGTCGCGATCAGCCAATCAGAGCTCGGCGTTTTGACGTCACCGCTACCCCCTGCGCACGAAGCAGACGAACTTGCCCTCCGCATAGGTAAAAAAAGTAGAGAGCTTCAAGCAGCTTTTTTTGTCGGTTACATTTTGGTATAGACCAGGGGTGGCCAAGCTGCGGCTCGCGAGCCGCATGCGGCTCTTTGTGTGATAAAGTGTGGCTCGTGGCTCCCTCCCCTACCCCCCCCCCCCCCCCGCCCCCCCCACACACACACACACTCCCACGCCTCCCTCCCAGTCTCACGAGCACTTACCCAAAAAGAGAAATGGAACACGTTTTAAATCGAAAGACAGCTTGTGGTTTAGTAGTATTGTGCTACTGCTACCTTACGTATAGTTGGACTGCTTTTGATTTGGATAGATTGAAAGTAGTTCAAGTTTCGCATATTGCTCTGGACAAAAGCTTGCCCCCCCCTTCCCCCCCCCCCCCCCCCCCCCCGGCTCTTGGAAGTTTCGTGGTTTTATTTGCGGCTCTTAGGCCGGGTCAGCCTGGCCACCCCTGGTATAGACCAGCAAAGAACCGAGACGACCAAGACGTGCAGCACTAGCTAGAGAATTGTTTATTGTTGCAACTCGCACCAGTTACGAAAATCTGGACGACCTTTGCATTTAGAATGTTCCAGGCAAAAATATGGATGGAAATCAGGCTGGAAAGCATCACAAGTTGTCACAGGCACTTATTTAGCGAGTCTGCCTGTGAATGTCGATTTCGTCACTACTCTTGGCCTGGACCAGCAACGTAATCACGAAGTCACTGAACGCTTGTGCTTGATTGAGAGACACTGCATTCGGCGCAGAACATAGTCTTCTTCCTGCTCTGGACAGTACCTTTAAAATAAAGCCGGAGGAGAAAAAGAAAAAAGCCCCATGGCCGAATAGAGGATGGAGACTATATCTTACAACCACATGCATAAAAACAAGAATTATCGTGACAATAAATTTGAGGGATGTATTTTCGCCCACAAAATTATATTTAATTACAATTGTATTTGAAATATCCACGTTTTAGTATTTAAATACACATGTAAAATACATTACCCAAGTTGTAATTAAATATAAATGCAAAATACACAAAGTATTTGAAATACGTATTTCAAATAGTACTTGTATTTGAAATACTACCCATCCCTGTGTGCTGCGTACCCTTTTCGTGTTATCTTTTTCTGCGAAAAAAAGGGCTGGGGCTGGTAAGTGCCTGCCATTCAAGCGTTTCTGCTCGACATTCACGGGAAACGAGGGAGGGAAATGACATTGAATGGCCCTCTACTTGATTTTACGAACAATGACAACTGTTCCCCATCTCCCAGAGATAATCCGTGTAGAGTCATTCTCAGTCATAACCAAAAATAGTTGTTCGGGTTGGCGTGGGGAACGGGTTAGTCACGTTCGTTCATTTGCCTTGGTGATGGTGTGAAGAAAGGAAGCTCTCCCCAAAACGAAGTCATCTTGAATTCGTCCAATCTGTCTGTAGCGCTGTGTTATTTGAGATATTTCTCAAATAAATCATTTTGGGAACGCTGCAGTACGTACAATATATTGTTCGAATGCTAGCACTTGCTCAGTTATATATCCCAGACCTGTTTGTCGGTAATTACATTATTTGTGCGCGTGAAATATGTATGCCTTTCGGCTATCTTCGGTTGTAAATTATTTTCGACCGCTAAGCGCTTGGTCGTTTGACACGCGGCTGAGCGGGCGGCGCTGTCAAAACTTATTGTAATATTAAATAATTCCAGTCGCATTCGTCCTGTCGCGTGCGTATCCAACAAAAATTTTTTTTTTTTTTTTTCGTTTCAAATGTGGTACAATATTTTCTCAATGTCCTCGGAAAAATACATACACCACGATGCGCAAAAAAGAAAATACAACGGGAAAAGACGAGAATTTTATTCTCGTGACGTCACGTGTGACGTCACGAGGATAAACTTTCCCCGCTAAAATTAGCGGGAAAATTTTGCCCTTACGATGTCACACGTGACGCGACGTTCAATGTCATTATGAGAAACATTCCATAATGCAACATGCAGTTACCCCGGCGGCGACGCCGCTGAAGCCGGAAACGGGCGCCTTTATGAGCTGCGCTCTAAAAAAACCTTAATATTTGCCTTAATGTATTTTGCAACCAATTATATCACAGGTTGTTTAGTGATAAAACAGGTGTCTGAAGTGAAACGGGTGTCTAAATATTTGACCTCTAGATATCTGTGTGTGTTTGGGGGAAGGGGGGGGGGAGCAAACATTTCTTTTGCCAGCCAGATATGTAATATATTTCTATTGAACAATGCAAAGGATGGGGGAGAAAATCTTCCCCTCCCGTTATACCCCCATCTTTCGAACGTTTCCGATGCCCCAGGTGTTGTTTATCCATTTGTTGTATTTTCTCCACATTAGCCATTCATATCAGGGGATGCGTTGTATTTAGTGCCGTTTACGTAAGGTTGTTAAAACTTCTTTTTGTATTTACAGTTACTCTAGTTTGTGTTGTTTACCTGTGCAGTAAGTGAAGCAGTGTTCACCTTTGCCTTGAATGCAGGCCGCTGGCTGTATTGTTGAATAAATAAATAAATAGATTCGTTCAGGATGATGCTATCAATTGATGTGGATGTCAGGACACCAGTGTGTTAAGATAAGCCAATTATTGACTGCTCGCTGCGCTTATCAGGAGATAGCGTGACAAGTTGTAGCCATTTCTAACTCGACCGTCTGCAAACACGTCTGCCGTTGACCCTGGCAAGCTTGTAGGTCCCCTGTTTTGAATGGAGGGGGCTATGCCTTGAAATTTCACCAGGTAAAATGCACCATCTCAATGCACATTTGGTGAAAGGTTGAGCTTTCTATGTGCAGGCAACGATGTTTCCAGCTCGTCTTACTGTGCCAGCATCCACCGTGGACACCCTATAAGAGAGTGTCCCAAAAACAAAATTAACAAATTTTTTTTTGATTTACTGCAAAAATAAATGACGCTTTGCTGAACGTTCAGCCTCTGCCCAAATGTAGCGCTAATGTTTCAAACCAGATGCCAAAGTTTCAGAACTTAGCTGTTAACTTATTCAAAAGTTATAAGTGATTTTCTGACATTTGTAATGGGAAAACGGCAGCAGACGGAGCCCTCAAATACATATGGAACTGAATGGCGCCAGTTACCAAGAAGGGGCCCCGTTTTCCCATTTAAAGCTTCAGAAAGTCACTTATAACTTTCGAATAAGACAGAGTTAGTTCCGAAATTTTGCCATCCGGTTTGGACTGCTAGTGTTTGGCGATGCATCATTTATTTTTGCGGCTAAAATAAAACCCTGTAAAGCTTTTGGGGGGAGTGCAAAGCATATTGAGGTTAAGCCTCTTAATGCTAATGGTACTACTGGCGGCATTGCAGATCAGCACCCTGGTGAGTGCCAAGGACAAAGCGCTTCGCAGCGAGCAGGCGGTGCGTGCCCGTGTGGGCCAGGCGGTGAACCTGGCCGTCGAGCGCTTCGTCTCCGTGGGCGAGGCCATTGCAGACGACAACATCGAGATCAAGCTGGACATGTACGACGCCTGCCGCAGTGCCAGGGCAGCAGGTGGGCACGACTCCCAATGAAGGACAAAGGCATATGGCATTTGAATGGGGCACGGACGAGGAAGAGTGTGTGTGTAGATGGATTAAATAGTTTTGGTATTCGATTCATATTTAGTTCAAACCCTAGGCACTTGATGGTCTGTATGCATTGAATTACAGTCAAATACCTCTTTTGATTTATGTTCAGTTCAAACCCTGGACACCTAGCAGTCTTCATATGCTGAATGGCTGTCATATATACTGAGGATGACTAAATATTTTGGTTTTGATTCATATTCAGTTCCGCCTAGGCACTTTGCAGTGTTCATACATTAAATGACTGTCAAAGGTAAGGATGATAATAATTTTAGTTGGGCACTTAGCAGTGTTGATGAATTGAATGACGGTCAAGCGCCGTTCACATATGTGCAACCGTCTAAGACCGAGAAAGACTAGACCGGTTTTTAAGCCTCTTGCAACGTTTAAGGACCAGATTCGCTGCAGCGGAGCTGGTCCTAAGACGTTGCAAAGGCTTAAAAACTGGACTGGTCTTTCTCGGTCTAACTCGGTTGCATATGTGTGAATGGCGCTTTAGAGAGTGAGGATTATTCCAATATTTTAACGCGACAGCGTTAAGTGGCTCGTGTCGCAGAAAGTCCGGCGTCGGTGTCGGTGGGACTGGAAACTCCTGATTGGTCAATAGAGTCATGACATCACAGACACGTGTGATATCACGCTACATGACCTTGCACAGGAATTTCACACCACCCACAACGCTCATGTGTAACGTCACACGTGATGTAATGGCGGTGACGTCACGTAAGACGTGAGGCTGCCAACTAGGCCACGCACACACACTTGAACAGCTTGGCAACAAGCACAAGTTTATATGACAAGTCTTTGCGAACAAGGCCCGATGACGCTATCGCCTTCCACTCTTAAAGGCAAAGCTTAAGCGTCCCCCAAGTTGGTTTTGATTCTAATTCAGTTAAAACCCTAGGCATTTAGCAGTGTTCGTGCATTGATGGCAGTCAGGGAGTGATCGAGGGCATTAAAAAAGATATTGAATCAGGCATTGAATGGCAGTCAGGGAGTGAGGCTATTAAGCTCCCAACCAAAATTCCAATCCATCCTCAAATATGCCAAGACTATTCCAGTCATCCTTCAAACCTTTGGCTATCTTTGAATTGCCAAATGGCAAATCTTAGAATTGAGTGAAGCAGAAAGTGTGCATGGAGGTGAATTGAATAGTCTTTGTATTTGATTTGCAGATCAAATTTTAGGCATTTGGAAGTTTTTTTGCATTGAATGAAAGTAAAAAAAAACCTGAGGGCGATTAAAGTACTAGTATGATCAGTATTTGATTCATATTCACGTACTAAAACTATTCTGATTTATCTCGTGTTTAACTGCCATTGAATGTGAGAATTGAGATAATTCGAAGGCGTGCTTGAAGGTTAATCAAATAGTTTTGGTATTTAATCCACATTCAGCTTAAACTTTAGGCAATATGCAGTTTTATTGCATCGAATGACATTAAAAGACTGAGGGTGATTGAAATGGTACTGATATTTGATTCCTGCTCAGCTACTAAAACTATTCTAATCTATCTCAGAGTCTTCGGCTGTCATTAATTGTGAGAATACTGAGATGCTCAATTAAATGTGCCACAAATGATCCACTCAAGAAACAGTGTCTTGTATAACACAATAAATGACCTTTTATACCTCGGGTTTATGCGAAGAAAAAACTCCTTTTCGTTGCCTCCTCTTCTAACCTACAATTGTACCATAGGAGGGAAAGAAAGATACATAGCTTCTTAGACTACCGCTCAGATGAGGGGTGCATAAACTTTCAGGAGAGCTAGGATACATCTGAAAGAAGGAAATGATGTAGAATGCGTAAGTTTGTATTGGGCTAGAGTTGCATAAAACGAATGCCACAAAGGTTTAACGCAGAAGTGTTATGCTAAAGTGCAGCACGCTAAATCTAACGGACTTGTGTCCCACTAAACTTAATGCGAAAATTATACACCAATTCAATTTCCTTAATTACTAAATTATACACCAGGTGAATTTAGCAGATTCTTGTGGGGCTTCTGAGCTCGGAAAACTTCGTAAACAACACCCGGCACAGCTCGAAGCATGCACCGCGTTCTGCACCTTTTTATCCGCAGGATTAAGATGCGTTTGATCTTTTCTTTTTCTTCTGCGATCAGGCACGACGATAGAGCAGCTGTGCGACGTGCGCATCGAAGAGGGGACCGAGGCCGGGGGGAGCGACCGGGGCGCCATGGCCCGGGCGGCCAAGGTCCTCCTAGCCTCCGTCACCCGCGTGCTCCTTCTGGCAGACACCGTCGTGGTCAAGCAGCTTCTCAGCGCAAAAGACAGGGTACGCCAGACACCCGCGTCGTCTGTACGGTTCGTGCAACGAGCATAGTGTACGGTGCCCAGAAAATGTCATCCTCTGGCACACTTACCGACCTATTCCTCCCTCACGTCGAGACTCCAAAGTAGTTCCAAAGTGCCAACAGACGGCGCCACAGGAGCCGGAACGGCAGAGTCGTACTTTGAGAGCGTTTGGTCAGTGGAAGGGGCTGGCGGGAGCTGGGGTGGTGCGGGAAATGCGGCACCACCCCCAGTGCCGCGTATTCCACCCTTGACCTTCAAGGAAGCGCATTCTACTGTGCAGATATTTTTGTTTCTGGATGAGGCCGAAAGAACATGAATGGATAATTCTACGAGATTGAGGGAAATAGGGAGTTTCAAGGTACTGAGTGCATTTACTGGGCCAGAAAAAGTGACGTTGACGAGAAAAGTTTCCTGAAACAGGGGGCGAAACTGCGAACATGGGGTGCGCGCTTGGGGTTAGGGTCAAAACTCCCGCTTAGCTGATGTCTGCAGAATTTACCGTTCACTCAGTCGTGTGGCCATGGTTGCGATTGCAATAAAAAAAAAAGATTTATGAACAGAAAATTATGGCGCAGACGAGCTGTTGGTAGTTGAACGTAGTAAAAACACCCAGAGACAGGGAAAAGAAAAGGACAGACAAACACAGATCTCAAACACAGCTGAATTTGGTGTTTATATAGCCTTCAAGAACCCATGCAAACTTGCAAGAAACAAAAAAACTCTTTCCACTGAAACACAAAAGGACTGTGACCACCGATAGGAGACACAGAGTATGAATTATCTCTTCGAGACTCTCTTCCTCTGTAGAAGTGCACTCAAAATTTTGTGCATTCTGAATGTCGCCATGACGACAACGTCACGTGCATGCCCCCTTCTAGTTACGAAGAGTCGCAGATTTCGACTCTTGTGTGCTGAAATAGAATAGAATACATCCTTAGCTACAAATTGTCATTGGCAGATATAAGTTAAGCTTATTTCCTCCACTAGGGGAAAATTCGTGGATAGTGGTTGGTCGCAGGCGCTCTCTATCGTTTCAATGGCCCGAGGCCATTGAAACGATTTCAGACAATGACATCCTCTTATTTTCGCCCTATTCTTACCGATTAATGACCGAAATCTCTACATATACAGCTCCACGGGGCGGAGCGGGGTGTCAGGCTGTCGGAGGTCGCAACCCTGGCAGTTGGTCGTATTGGCAGATATGGCGAGAGGTTCCAAGGGTCGCTGTTATCGCGGCGTCCCGTCTCGTTGTCTGCTTTGGTTTCCGTCGATTGTCTGGCTGCAGGGTGACCTGCGGTAGAGGCATCTGCAACATCCATCTCTGCCGCCATGCCACTGCCAGGATCTCAGCGGGCAACAGTGTGAAATTTATACTTTATACGACTTCATCGGACGGAAACTGAAGGACCACCTTGGAGGACGCTGTAAACTTACCAGTCGGAGACGCGCTCCAGGCACCATAGTCTATAGACCAGTGGTTCTCAACCATTGATGTTTTGCGGACACCTTGTGGGTCGGCGGCAGGAAAGGTATAGGTTAATTATGATAATGATTTATTAAATGGATATAACTAAGGGTTAGTGTGAAGCATACTTCTCTCATTGACATACACACCAGAAAACTCTCCCAAAAATTAAAATGTTTCTTCTCAATTAAAAAAAAGAAAAGAAAAGAAAAAATACTTCTAATGCCGGGTTTGATCGATGAGGCAGGGCTTTGCGGACCCCCAGAATGCCTTTGCAGACCCCAAAGTGGCCGCGGACCCCCATTTGAGAACACCTGGTCTAGAGAAAAAAGTCCGCCATCTTTCTTACGTTTCTGCTGAAGTGCGGACAACTGTGCTTCCCTCAAAGTCTCACTAAGCAGTTCAAGGGGCTCTGTGATTTTTGCGGCATTTCAAAGGTGGCACTGAAAGCGTTACCGGAGATAGGTCCGAAGTGCCTGCGACCGGATACTGTGCAGGGGCAAGGATTAGTGAGAATAGAGGACTGGTGGTGTGACCTACTGCAGTCACCTGTAAATGTTAATATAGTATTGAAATGCCTTCTGTTCAAATGCGCGAGCATTAGGTAAATATATTTTTAACATTATATTGTATATATGTCTTGCATACAGATTCCCTAGTTCTGCCTTTAGGACTGTGTTTCTCGAATAATTTTTCCCGCCTACGGCAGTCGTTATCACTCGTGGTGGAAGAGTTTACTGGGTGGAAGATGACGGGGTTTCTAGGTCGGAGACGTTGAACGACTGTCATTTTATCTGTCATTTGGCTTTAGGTTTTTTTGTGGCTACACTCCAATTCACCGTAAGTGTGAACCAAACCAATGTTACAAGCACGAGTACTATGCTCCTTTGAACAATGTTTTCGCTTGACGAGCACGCGTGCATAGCAGGCCCTCTCAAAGTGCTGCATTTGCTCTCATAGCGTCTCCTTTGCTCGCACTTACAGTGGCAGGAAGTCTTTTTTATGCTGTCCATTTTTAAGATCTCCAATTATAGTCACAAACCTTGCCTGTAGCCACACTGAAGGGCCTGACCACCCTTTTTCGTGGGAAAGGATGGTTCACCAGACGCAGTTACTGACGTCCGATAATTGGCGCCTAGAACCACTCGCCAAAACGTCACTTAATCCGGTATGTGTGGTTTCTCTCTTTGCAGGTATCCATAAGCTTGAACCGCCTTGAGAATGTTGCTAACTTCACGGAGTTTGTGAAGGCATTCAGCCAGTTCGGCACCGAAATGGTTGAGCTGGCTCACCTCACGGGAGACAGGCAAAACGTGAGTGGGACCCACGGTGGCCACCGCATGTAAATAGATAGTACTGGCCCTTCCCGCTTGGGAGAGAGTATCGCTCGAAAGACATCTTAAGCAAACAGCTTTTGAGTATCGAGTTTGCATGGTTCAGACGTTCGAGTGTTGAGGATGTGCAAAAACACGAAGCTCGCGAGGACTCATTTGAATGCAGCGAGCAAGTTTGTCTGCTCTAGAGCCACTGCAAAAGATATGCCTAGAGTATCAGAACTTCTTTCCCCAATTATCTTGTGAACGTTGCCATTTTTACGCTTAGTGCAGAGTGGACACAATTGGCTGTAGTTGCAATCCGAAAATGCAACTTCTTGAGCTCTAGATACGGTATCGGTTTGCCCTGTCTTACCGCTCATTCACACTGGAAGCGGATCCGCGTTTGCAAAGCGGTTGCGAACGCGGTTGTATGAAGATCCAGTACAATTGCATGCGCACTCGATGACATTGAGTGTGCGTGCAATTGTACTGGATATTTATACAACTGCGTTCGCAACCGCTTTGCAAACGCGGATCCGCTTCCAGTGTGAATGAGTGGTTAAACCGTTTTAGCATTTCTAGAGGACGGAAAAGCATCTCCTGCGATTTCAGATAACGCTTTGCACAACAGGTAACAATGAGCTGTAAGCAACAAGATGGCTAATGTGTCGTTACTCTGAAGCACAGCTTATTTATGGAGACTCGAATCTGCTCCTTGACAGAAGTTACTGTGGCATCACGGTGCCTCACTCCGATTGGAGGAAAATGTGTAGTGCTCTTAGGCGGCGGCGTCTGCTAGCCGTAGCAGGTAACTTCCTTGCCTTTTCTATGGTGTAGTTGGAAACCTACCAGTTATTTAGGAACGAGGACTTGGCCGTCGAGGAATGCGAGAGAAAATGACTTGAGCCTCGAAGGGCATGTTGTTTTTCTCAGCTAGCAACTACCAGACAGGTTACAGTGAGCAGAGATGAAGTAACCCACGGCCAACATATTGTTTGTTATGCACTCGTGAGGGAGAGTAATCCCGTGTGCTTTATGGCACACAGGATCACTCTCCCTCACCTTTTTGCACCTCCTCTCTCATTCACGGAGAGATATCTTTGGCCTACTTGCTCACTTTTACCTTCTAAAAAAAGGTAGGCCCTCTAAGACACTCCAGATCACACCTTGTAATTTCTGTTCCGATACTTTTCTCACGTCTAGGGCGACTGTGTGCTAGACAGATACAAGCTTATTGTATTCCTCCTCTCTTTCAGTTTTGAAGAAATGACTACTTTACAGTAAACGTTTCTGCCCGGCACTAAAAAAAAATTGTCATGCCTTAATTTAATGAGTGGGAGCAGGAGGGCCTTTCTTTGTCAAATGCTGCAACTACGATGTTTCATTGCAGCAAGATGTAATAAACCAATTTTTCCTGGGTGGTCACACTTGGCTAGGTCTAGGACATTACTAGGTCAAAAGACAATGAACATAACCTTCTTTTGGCTTGCATGTAGGCAAATTATTTTGCAGAATACCTGGATGTTTTAGAATGCTTCAGAGACATCAACTAAACGCTCAAAAACTCCTCTATTAGAGGAGTTCAAAGTTCCGGAAGGGGCGACTTTATTATAAATTTTTTTTATTAAACTAAAGTTGACCTTCGGGGGCATAGGGAGAGCAATTGCCCCCTCCCCCCCCTCCTATATCTGCTCCTGAGTTTTTAACCGTCTGACGTGGGTGTGGTCGATCTCTGGTTGCAGGACATGAAGGATGACAAACGGAGAGCCCAGATGGCATCTGCGAGGATGGTCCTGGAGAGGTCTACAATGATGCTGCTCACAGCATCAAAGGTAGCCTTCTGCATCCGCCCTTTGGCTTCGTAGAGCTTTCTGTAAAATTGTAAAGCCAGGTGACAGATCAATATTAATGCAGAATTGCGCTCTAATGGAAGCCAACTCAGATTTTGTATCTATTCATGGTGTGCTTAGCATGTCACGTGATCTGGTGTCACCTGACCTCAGGTCCTCGCAGTGCAAAGTCGTGGTGTCACGTTACATCACAATGTCAACAATGTTACTGGATCTGACATTGGGTGCCAAGTGAGGGTATAACTAGATGCCATGTCATGTGGCCATGTCACATCGTGTCAGTTGTGTTACGTGACACTAATGTCACGTGACCACATCGTGTGACGTCAGGTCACATGATTCATCAAAGTCTGTCGGTAACGGAATGTACTAAATAAAAGCCGGTGTTTTTTATGCATTTCAATCGTGCATATGTAAGTTTGATCAATAAATGAAAATACAGCTGCCAATTGTTTTTACTAGAGTATCTAATATTTGTGGCAATGTAGAAAACTAAATCGACAAAATATTTCACCATTCAAAGTATTTTTTTTATGTGTGGAAATATATAGCGTTTGAAGTCTTACGAAGGTGGAACGAGTAAACCAAATAGGTGAGGGAAATATTTTAGTTTGCTACAGCCAAGCGCTGACTTCCCGCATCGCACGTTTCCACTTCAGACATACTACCGTGTTTACTGGAGTCATAAATGCCCTTATTTACGAACAATGCCAATGCGTCTATACACTTCCCGCAGAGCACCAATGCACCCAGTCATCGCGCTATACTTCCATAATGAGTGACAAGGTCAATAAAATGATTCCCTGCGAAAAGGCAATCTGTGCAGGTCACATTTTCATGAGAGGGCATCACGAAAGTTGCTGGGCAGTGGACTCCTAGGCCCGCTTCAGACGGGGCAACTTTTCCAGCAATTTTGAGGTTGCTGGTGGGTTGTTCCCTAGCTTTCCCTAGATTGACGCGAATTGCTGAGATCAGGTCCGGCTCGAACAAGCGAGCAACTCGGAGCAATTCGAAGACGGTTGAAGCGGCTGCAGCCAATCAGAGACGCGATATTTGCACATGACACCCCTGTGGTGGTGATGGTGACAGCTAAAGACTTAGTTCTGGTTTGGAATGGATGATTTTCGGAAATAAACTGTTTCAGAAAATTTAGTTAGTATTCTCAACGCCGTTCAAAGATATAAGAACACGTTTTTAGTGCGTAGCTGAGCGTCTAAATAGTGAAAGAAGAATCAAATTTAATGATGACGATGGCAAGTCGGAGCAATTCGGTTGCTGCGTGTGAACGCGGGCGGCCGGTGTAGCTGGTGTTGCGACGTCAAATTGCTGGGTGAAATTGCTCCGTCTGAAGCGGGCCTTATGGATCATGATGATTGGTTATATGCTTATGCTGCAGGAAAAGGGATGGTGTTGGTTTACTTAGAGTGCATCTATTGCCGGGATTTGTGACCAAAAGCGCTGCTGTGGTCTGAATTCCACGATAGGCCATATTCTCACTATGATGTTTTTATTTGGATTAATTTTGCTTTCCTCGACGGAAATAAGAGTGGTGTCAGACTGTCAATTTCGATGGTGTCGATATATCGCTGCAATTACTCCAAGTTTCCCCCGTGTTTTCTACACACACCGTGGAACTTGTCATTTGCAACTGATGATGAGTGGGCAGGGTAACAACTTACGATGCCATGGTGGGGCAAATCCCTGTTGTGACATTGTGGGAAGGTATCATGAGAGGGTGCCACCAAAACATCTCTGCGCTAATAGACCCTTTTCACGTTTACAAACAGAGTCCAGACTGCTTCCCTAGTGACTTCTAGTTGCTCTGTATTGAGCAAGTCATCTACTTCTTGCGCAGGAGTTGCGGTGACGTCAGAACGACGCCGAGCTTTGATTGGCTTTGATTGAAAGGATAGTGGGTAGACCTCAATGCTAGATCCCTTCGAGGTGTACCCACTATATTTTGTTCAATCAGCCAATAAGAGCTCGGCATTCTGACATCATCGCAACCCATGTGCAAGAAGCAGACGAACTTGCGGTCCGCATTGTAGAAGGCTGGATCGCTGATCAAGGCCTTTCTTGCTGGGATCAGGTGGCACTGCCGGCAGCTATTACTTGACACCACCAAATACTATACATGACACTCTATGGGAAAAACGACAAAAAGTGCCAATTTTCCCGTTTCTAAGCTTCTGTCGACAATTAAACTTTTTAGCTTCTTTTCGGGAAGCCTATCAAATAGTTTGTGCGCAAACATTAAAACTGAAAGGCCTTACAATTCTTTTAATTATATGTTTTGTGGTCAGAAGTGACTCTGTTGGGCGAAAAATGTAGTGCAGCTCAATGAGACAAGAGTTACCTAGAGTAACCTCGTAGTCTGTGGCGGTTTTGACGAGTCCATGGGTTTAGCAGACGACAAGCTTGAAGGCTTTGCTACGTGGAATGGACCTTTTCCACATACCGACGGCACTAGGTGGTGGCTGCACAAACTAAAAATCGAGGAAGTGACCTACCTGCGCTACCAATCGACAATGGGAGCTACGCTACCAGTTTCTTCGCGCTCTGAGCTGTGGCACGTGCCCAACGCAACATTAAAAAGGGGCATTCGTGGCATTCACCCAAACGTCGTGTTCTTCTTTCCGTCCACTTTTTTTTCTTGTGTATAAACAATTATATATATGCTTCAATTCCGTGTTCTACTCGCGGATCCACAGCCTCCTTCCGAATTTCCTTGATTTTTCGTGCCGACTTCCGCCGCTTAGCATCGGGCGCTCGCGCGTGCGGAGAACACTTCTCAAAAAAGGTCCATTCGCTCATTTCCCAAAAGCTGCTGTGAACATGGAACTTTTTCGATAATCATCGACTTCTGGGCTTTCGACGACGGTCTTATTGACGGCCAAGTTCCTTTATTTACTCTACAATGAAAGCAAGCTTGCCAGCTCAGCCGTGGGTGCTCTATATAGCTGGCACGCTTAATTTTACAGCAAAGCTGTTATGCACTAGGATCTGGAAAAAATGTGTTCGCGGATGTTAACAGAAAACTCCCCATTGGTCTTGGCAAGTATGAATAAATAAGAATAAGAAGAGGGGGCAGCCAGTGTGAGTCAGCCTTCCTTGGCATTATTAGATAGTGAGGTCCTGATCCCTTTTAATCATCTGTAGGCATCGTCCTCGAGGTCTTCTTAGACATTGTCCTGGAGGTCATCCTAGATGTCCTCTTCGAGGTCGTCCTAGAGGTCATCCTTGAGATTGTCCGAGAGGTCATCCTTTATAGGCATCATCCTCGAAGTCGTCTTAGAAGTTGTCCTTGAGGTCGTCCTAAAAGTCATCCTTAAGGTCGTCTGAGAGGTCGCCCTAGGCGTCATCCTTGAGGTCGTCCTAGAAGTCATATTTGAGGTCGTCCTAGGCGTCGTCCTTGAGGTCGTCCTTGAGGTCATCCTAGACACCGTCCTCTAGGCGTCGTCCTCTAGGCGTCGTCCTTGCGATCGTCCTAGACGTCGTAAAAATAACAGCTTCGCTGCTCCTCCATCTTCGTGTGAAGTGGAAGGACTTTGCAATTTTTTTAATGGGCGTTCGAACGCTTGACAAATACTGATTCGATATCCAAACACCCGGTATAATTATCGCAGCACATCATAAAATACTCACCTTCGAGCACTGCGAACAAGCTTCAGTATTTCTACTTTTGTGAGTTTCCCCCATAGACTTGCATATATTGCCTGGTGTCAAGCAGTGGCCGCCAATTCGCGATTCAGCCTACAGCAATAGAGATCAGTGACGGCACACTTGCTAGAATGTTCGAGCGCTAGAGAAACAACCTAGTTCAATACTTATAAAGGTCCTTCTGCTGTGCTACTCAACGTATGTGATGATCAGTCGCTCTACGGGAGCATTTAGAACTCGCCGAGGAATGCTTTCCCTTTAGCGAAGCCTTGGGAGAGTTGGTGATGAATATATTTAATGGATTCTGTGAGGAGTGGTATTATGGTGCGGATTGTTGTCCTGCCATTTGATTGGAAGTTCACAGGGACATAGAATGCAACAGCACCCCCTTGCAGCATTTTAAAGCACGGAATGCTTTTTAACAAAACCGCATTACCCCCACAAATTTGTTTGGCCATCCGTCCGTCCATTTCCCCTTTAAACTTAGCGAGTAATTTGAATTGGTGTGTAATTATAGTATACCGTTTCAGGTCACATCACATGTTATTGGCCACGCGAAAAGCATTTTCCTGCTAAATTTAGCAGGAAAACTGACACTAACTGACATCATGTGACACCTGACACCGTGGCAATGTGCCACTCTACTGCGCTGCATGACAAGATCACGTTTCGTGACAGTGTTGCAGTGTGAAGTCTCGATGTCGCGTGGCAAAATCATTGACACCGTGAGGTCGCGTGGCACAACAGCGTGACATTGTGTCGCATGTCGATGTTGCACAGCATCGTGTCACACGTGCCATGTGATGAGAATCAATAGACAATATGTTCTTCTGGTCCCAAAACAGCTGTCAAACGTCTTCTGAACAAATTTAAACGGTTTCCCCATAAACAGTGTATTCCGTGCACAAATAAAGGTTGATGTTGCAAATAAAGGTTGATGTAAATATTTATGGAAACAGTTCGTTGCTCAAGTAAAAAAATGACCGCATCTCCACGTGGTGAATGATATTGATTGGGGCGAAGCTCTGGTGGTGCTGATGATACTGATTTTGTTCATAGGTAGTGCTGATGGTGCTGATTTTTTTTTATTGCTCATAGGTAGCGCTGAGTTCCGGGTTGCGTTTTGACTTTATTATTATGGTCGGTGAAATGCAGAGCCAGTGGTTCTTCTAGGGGATCAGCTTGGATCCGTTAGAAGCCATGGGAACACATCTCCACCGCTTAAGTCAACGGTCCATGTCAGAAAGAGAATGTGTGGTATGGAACATGGTTATATACGCACTTGAGCATTTGACTGCGGCGCCTTCTCGTCTATAAACGTTGAGCCAATGCATGCAAAGTTTAACGCGATTATATGCGCATTTCACCGCAGCGCCCTCTCCTGTATAGATGTTGAGCGGCTACATGCAACGTTTCATCCATGACAGAAACCCCAGCTCTCTAGTTACTACCACGCTCTCAGAGCCCCCTTGCTCGTTCCGCAGTTGTGGCCGAGTAGTTAAGGCGATGGACTAGAAATCCATTGGGGTCTCCCCGCACAGGTTCGAATCCTGTCGACTGTGCAAACATTTTTTCTTTTTATGTGAGCACGGACGCCAGACGGTCGGACAGACGGACAAGGCTAGACCCTAAGGAGCTTCCCCCCTAATACAGGACTGAGTGCATATCTCATTTCTCCCCCCCCTTGCAGGCCTGCCTGAGGCACCCCGAGTGCGAGACGGCCCGGGAGAACCGGGACACGGTGTTCCTGCAGATGCGGAGGGCCATGGACCTGGTGCACTTTGTGGTCAAGGACGGGGTCATCCCCGAGCTGGCCGCCATGGCCTCCTCCTCCTCCTCCTCCGAGTGCCGCCGGAAGGGCGCCCGCAGGGGCTCCTGGCGCCTCGAGGAGTTCGACCGCTGCGCTACCGTCCACAACGCCGTCAAGAAGTTTGAGGTGGGCACGGTCTTGCATGCTGCTCATACGCTAGTGCACGCAGACATGTGTGCCACAGATGTACAGTTTACCGTCACGGGTGGAACAGGATCCACAGTCGTAAAACTAAAAATAAAGGTTTTATCGGCGAACTTGTGCCAGAAACAGAAGAAAGAGCGAGCTTGGAGAGAGCGGCAGTGAGCGTCGAGGCGTCGGCGTGACAGCTGGCTATCGCGAGGGTGCGAGAGTGAGCCGGCAAGGCCACGCTGGGCTTCCGATCTACTGCACTAGGCATCTCTAACATTCCGCCTAGAATGTTCAAGTATCAAACACTCGAGAGACTGACTCGGCAAAGTAATTTTGACCTCCTTATCTATTATCCTCGATATCTCGAGTGAATGCGAATCTTCTAGAAGTATGGAGTAGCATTCCTTCTTGGCCATACGCTTGGCAATATGTCCGTACATGGCATATGCTTTCATACTCAAACAGTGCTGCCCTTGGTGGTTGAGGAGTTCGAGACAGCATCGAAGGTAGTTCAGAGAAACATTTCGAGCCGGGCAGGTCCTTCGTTATGTATTCTATAGATGTACGCTAGACGTCTGCACATAGTATAGGATCTTTATAACATGCAATAATAAACTATGCGTTGCCGAACGCTCATTTTTCGTCCAGTTGTAGCTTTAGCATTTCAAACTAGATCCCGAAGTTTTATAACTAACCGTCATCTTATTAAATAGTTATAAATGATTTCTTAAATTTTCAGCGGGAAAATGGCGGCCGGCGGAGCTCTCGAATACATGAAGTTGAACGGCGCCAGTGACGAAAGATTAACCCCATTTTGCCATTGAAATTTTCAAAAAATCAATTATGACTTTCGAATAAAGTAACAGTTAGTTTTGAAGCATTGGCATCCGGTTCGGACCCCTGGCACTCTGTTTGGGTGAAAACCGTGCGTTTGGCGATGTATCATCTATTTTGGGGGTGAAAAAAACCCGTAAATTTTTTGGAGGACACGCCGCGGCATACAAGGCAGTTTAACTTTCCTCCTGTACATTGTATACATATAGAACAGTTCACATTTCCTCTTGAACCATCAAGTGGGAATGTGAACTGTTCTTTGGGCACTCTGCTCCAGAGGTCGGCATTTTAGGTCGCCCTCACTCACCCTCACCCTCACAGCCACACTCACTTAAACCCCTTACTCACCCTCACCCTCACAGCTACACTCACCTTCAGCCCCTCAATCACCCTCACCCTCACAGTCACAATCACCTTCAGCCCTTCACTCACCCTCACTGAACCTCACGGCCCTCACGCACACACCGCCCTCACGGCCCTCACGGCCCTCACGCCACTCACCGCCCTCACGGCCCTCACCGCCGTCACGGCCCTCACGGCCCTCACAGCCCTCACCGCCCTCACCGCCCTCACGGCCCTCATGGCCCTCACCGCCCTCACCACCCTCACCGCCCTCACGCACTCACAGCCCTCACGCCACTCACCGCCCTCGCCGCCCTCACGGCCCTCACGGCCCTCACGCCACTCACCGCCCTCACGCCACTCACCGCCCTCACGCAACTCACCGCCCTCACGCCCCTCACCGCCCGTGCGGCCCTCACACCCTTCACGCCCCTCACGCACTGATGGCCCTCACGCCACTCAGGCCAGCCTCAGATGGGGCGATTTCGCCCAGAAACTTTACGTCGTAACACCAGCAACACGGGCCGCCCGGTATCACTCGCAGCAACTAATTGCTGCAATTTGCCATCGTCATCATAAAATTTTATTTTTCTTGCACTATTTAGACAGAATTACGCTTTATAAATGTGTTTTTATGCATTTAAACCTCGTTAAGAATACTAATGCACCTTTCTGAAACAGTTTATTTCCAAAAAAAACGATCGATTTCAAACCAGAAGCAAGTCTTTCGGTGTCATCATCACCGGCACGATGTATCACGTGAAAATTTTGCGTCCCTGATTGGATGCAGCCGCTTCAAACGTATTCGAATTGCTCCGAGTTGCTTGCTTATTTCGAGCCGGACCCGATCTCAGCAATTCGTGTCGATCTAGGGAAAGCTAGAGAACAACCCGCCATTAACACCAAAATTGCTGAGAAAGATGCTCGATCTGAAGGGGGCCTCACGCACTCACCGCCCTCACGGCCCTCACAGCCCTCACGGCCCTCACGCCTCTCATGCCACTCACTGCCCTCACGCACTCATGGCCCTCACACCCCTCACGCACTCACCGCCCTCACACCACTCACGCACTCATGTCCCTCACGCCACTCACCGCCCTCGCGCCCCTCACGCCCCTCACGCACTCAAGACCCTCACCGCCCTCACGGCCCTCACGGCCCTCACCGCCCTCACCGCCCTCACAGCCCTCACTCATCCTCACACTCATGAATTTTCCTGGTTCAGAAACTCACTCACCGTCACCTCACCTGTGAAGATGAGGGTGAGTGAGGGTGAGTGAGGGCCCTCATGAGTGAGGTTTGCCGAGGTATGCTCTGCTCAGCAACTACTTTCCTGGGCTGCGTGATGTCACCAAAACTGTGTACATTTGCATATGTGTACGAGCGACGCGTGTCCTTACCAAGGACTTGCCCACGAACAATTAGGGACCTCATTTGTCTCGAAGCACCAAGGTTTTGCTTATAAATAGGGTTTCCTGTTTTCGGTAAATACCGATAAGCCCCAGAAATTAACCTTTGAGTCCATTTTGTTAAAATGGGGAAAAACCAGAGAACACCGAATTGTAGCTGTTCTTGAATTGGAAAAACCCAGGTTTCATGGAAAGAAAATTTTTAACTGTATAGCTTTATTTTGTGTTGTTGAAACAAGGGTTACTGCACAGGTGAACTGGTGAACGATCATAGGAAAAACAAAACAAAAAAACCGTCGAGACTAGGGACAAAAACGGTGCAACGCAACACCGTCTCAGACACCATCTATTTTTGAGATGGTGTTGCGTTGTCCCATTTCTTGTCCCTAGTCTCAATTTTTTTTTTTATCTTTATTTTTTCAATTGGTGAGACTTGGACATGGCCCATTGTAAACTGTCTGCAAGGCTGCTTCTTCTTTAAAACCACACACCTTATCTCGTTTCACTCTCTTATCCATATAGGGACATTTCCCAAGTATTCCGACCAAACATGTATTCCCTAAAGGTTAGGGAATCCCATGCCCATGTCTTGTTTTCTTGGACGGAAGCCCCGATAAACCCCAATTTCTTTTTTATCGACAGGAAATGGAGAGGTTCCTTGGTTCAATACCAGGACCAGGCAGATTTTTTCGGTCGCTCACCAGTCACCTAGCTGTGTTTGGAGATTTGTTTGTCCTTTGTCCCCTTTGTTCCCCTTCTCCAGGGATTATTATCACCAAAAATTTGTTTAAAAACACCGAATCGGTGGGAGAAAACAAACCCCCCAAATAAACACCCCCGAATTCTAAAAATAAAAAAACGACACCGAAATCGTTGTCATTCCTATGCCGATTCTCAATGAAATGCATTAACGCGGGGGTTCCGACTCGGCAAAGGATGGGAATTCTGACCTCGCAACAGTCTGCCCACTGTAGCGTTTTTAGAGGCAGTCTGCTCTCCCGGGTGTCGGCAGTTTCAAATGCAGGCACCGCAGCTTCCTCCCTCTTCCGCTCCTGCGGCACATCATTGGAAGCGTGCCAGAAGACTTTTCCCCTCTTGCAAAGGGCTGTCCAAACGGAACACTTCAGAAATCATGAGGCTAGACAACTCCCTCATGTGTCGTGGACGTTGAAGTCCGGCAGTCCGCTTTCTGTTTGAAAAGCACCGGGCAAACATTGCGGCTTTTCGGTGACCTCGGTGCTCATCAGACTTGACATCACACGCCGCCTGCCAATGGGGCGCCTGTTGCCTGTCCATCCGTTATACAGTGCACTCGATCGTATCCTTGTTCAAGTCCCGTTTTTGAGACTTGAACATCAGCGGTGGCCTTGAGCGATTGACCAACAGCCAACACAGCGTGTAAGTGGCTGCCAGGACCCACGATGAGCATTCCCAAGAACACGAGTGGACTTTGATGGAGGGAACCAATCCCTCCGGCGAAAAAGACAAATGGGAGTGGACCGCCGCACGACATGTGACGGGGTTGTGTCTCCTCACGATTTCTAAAGTGTCCTGTTTGGACACCCCTTCAAGGGGCGATGCAACGATTTTTGTATTTTGCGCAAATACCGCTTAGAACAGATCCCTGACGTTAATGACCTGTGAAATACCCGTTCGTTTTTCCCCACACGCAATCGAAGTAACAGAAAAAAAATCAAGAAAAACGAGTAGAGTTCACCTCCTCAACTCACAGCCAGAACAAGCGACCACGTGATCTGGAGCCGATTATATGCCGCGAATGTTGATCATAGCCATGCGCTGGGGTTGGCAAGGCACAGGACACGCGCTGCGTTCCAGACATTGTTATGGTTCGGCTGTTGTCGTCATTGCAGCGATTGGACACAGGACACTACCCGAATGCTTCTCGAGCTCTAAATTATCACGAGCCCAAATCCAGTGCCCACGCAATGCTCGGGTCCAGTCTATGAGCCGCATTCAAATATCGTCACTGGGTGGTACTGCTACCGCCCAGCTACGTCATCAGGTTTTGCGAAGGAGAGATTGAATGAAAACGCCCGGTTTTGTCCTCGAAATTACAGCGCAACAAAAGAGTTTCTTGGTCAGTGGCGTTGCGTGCGAGTATCCTTGAGCCCCACTAGTGCCAGTAAGCTCGTGTAGAGTGAAGAACATTCCAATTGAATATCGTTGCACCGCCCCTTTAAAGGCCGATGACCAGACTCGAGATTTCGCAAGGCAGAAGATCCTCCTCATTATAAGGGAGGAGGAAACGCAATGGTGGACTGGGTAAAGGAGGGAGAGGAGGAAGGGAGAGAAAAGTGGAAAGTGCAAACTGGTCGCCGGACTTAAAGAGGGAAGCGTACGTAACGGGCGAACAAACAAAGCGAACGAGTGCGGCGAGAACCATGCACCGCGGCCTCATGAGCCCAGTTCACTCCAGTCCGGTCCAAACCAGTCCAAACCGCGTTCGTCCAAATGAAAGACGTACGAGGACAAAACCAAGTACCAAGGCAATAAAAGCTGACACATTTAATAAACCCTGAAAACAGGGAACCCTACCTATGAAACATACTATGGTTTGAGTTTGAGCCTGTAAGGTACTGCGAATAAATGAATGGACGAGTTAGTGACGCTTCATTGCCGGGGAGCAGGACCTGGTGGAGACGACGCGCATGACGCTGGTGGGCCCCAGCTGCCGGGAACGGCTGTCGAGCGGCCTGGAGGCCGTGGTGGAGCGCACCCAGGACTTCACCGACTCGGCCTACACCTCCCACGAGCACCGGGAGAAGATCCTGCTGCTCTGCGACCGGGCCAAGCTCGAGCTCAACCAGCTGCTCAGGATCGGCGTCGGACTGGTGCGCTTCCCCCCTATCTCCGCATGACTTTTCCTTCGTTTACTAAACCCATTAATTAGTTTTTCTGAATTTCCCACCCTCCATTGTTCAGTTGTGGTCTTCAAAATCAAACTTCTAGCCACAAACAAAATGGGAGCAAAAGTTTTGAAAAGGTCAGTGCTGCCGTCTGTTGGCGTAGCCACAAATGAAGCCACAAGCGAGCCTCGGTCGTCTAAAAGGGTCAAGCGCGCGAACGGGGGAAAGCAGACGAGCTGCTCGTCTGCTTTCCCCCGTTCGCGCGGGGGAAAGCACGGAACCGCACGGGACGAGCTATGCTCGTCCCGTGCGGTTTAAGAATGGCTCGACATAGACAAGCTATAGGCTGATCCAAAACGTTTAAAGGGTTAAAGCGAAGAATGCTTTATGACAGGAGCCCACCCCCCCCCCCACCCCCACTCCCAGAAATATATTCATCCATGCGTCCGCTTGTACGCCAAGGCAGGGCACATAACGTTGGGTGTCGGGTTGTGGTGTAACGTGATGTCGTGGGGTCATGTGCGTGATGTCGTATAACTGATAATGTTGAGGTAATTGCAACTTTGAGTTGTAGAATATGATGCATTAAATTATAAATAAAGAGAAAAGCGGATGGAAGAGTATTTCACTCGCTTAAGGTAGTTTACAGGTTTAGATTAGATATACTAAGATGTAATTCCCGCAATAAAAAAACATTGGCAAACACGCAAAAAAAAGCAACGAAAAAAACACTATTTAAACAAACAAATTATGAAGGACATGCACTCCGGTAATAGACAAAAATATATGCGTCTGGACAGCAAGGGTTCGCATAGCCAGCGTACAAGTCTGAAAGGAATTGCAAAAAAACAGACCGAAGACAGTTAAGATTGCTTACGTGTAGGAATGCAAAAGCATTATAGTCCGGCGATGACATCATGCTCTTCCACTGCATAGGTGCTGCACCCCCGCAGGCTTCAGAGCTTCCGTGACGAAGCATCTGCAATCTGTGCTTTTCTTTGTGTTTTATTTCTGAGGCTCGTCCGCTTTGACCTTGAGTGGCGCGCCCTTGACGACATATTTTTATGGCCATCTTTCGGGGACAACGCTGATGCCTTTTTACGTAAGGCGACATATGAGGCTTCTTGCTTTGAAAGAAAAAAAAAAAAAGCTTGCCAGTGCAATGTGTTGCCAAGGGCTCGGTAGACAAAGTTCCAACACGCTGAGACATGAGGCTGGCAAAAACTTGAGGTCAAGACGGAGGGACATCGGCATTCGGGGTGGTGTGCTTGGGACGACAGTGCCATTGTGATTTTGACGGGCATCCAAGAGCATGTACACCAGCGTTCGGCAAAGTGTCGACCTTGGAAGAGCCAAAGGTTACGCCGGGGGGAAGACTAGAAAAGCTCGGGTCCGTCATCCGGCAGCCGTTTGCTTCTGCATTCTGCTGAAACTCGTCTTCGCACCGATTGAACGTCCGAGCGCCGACAAGGCACTCGTGTCTAACCTGGGCCCTGCGCTCACCACTAAAAGTCCAACCCCACGGCTTTCTCATCTGGGAGGCGCACTAAGTTTGAACAGTTTGCACTCGGAGCATGCACTCAGTTTGCGGAAGACGCTCGGTGCGTAAATCCCCGGAGCCGCGCACGTCGCAGCTTAATTTGTTGTCAACGAAGCATTTACGTGCGCTTATACTTTTTTGGAAGCACGACACACAATAGCCTAGCAGTCGAAAAAAAGTATTAAAGAGTGAAAACCCTGCCTTTTTAAAGTACAGAAACCATTGACCAAGGACTGGCCACTATGTTTTCTTGTTTTTTTTTTAATTTTCCTCCCTCGAGATAATGACGGAGAACTCTGATTGTATAAGTGAGCATATAATGAATCGAGGAGCTCACCATTAACAAAGCTAGAAAAATCGGCACCCGTACACAGCAAGGTTCTCTCACAGCGGTATTTTAGTGGCAGATATTACCGCGTGAAATTACGAGACATAGCTCCGGTCTTATTAAAAGAATGAGAACATCACCCTCGGCAGTTTTGATGGCAGACTCTAACACAGACAGCCGAGTCACCCTAGAGTAGTGCTTATGGTACTGTCTCTCAACATCAATGACTAATCCAAATCAGATGAAATGCAGGCAGTTTAAAAGATGTATTTTTGCAGCGTGCAGCATTCCTTCAATTCATCAGGCTTTCAATATGGCTGCAACAAACTAATTAGTGATCTGCATGGAGTAGCCAGCACTGCTCAGGCAAAGGCACCATCTCCAAGAAATACTCACTTCTTAAAAAAGGATATATATATATAAATTTTGCTTCCATAGAAGGTGCTACAGAATGCTCTGCCGCACTATTTGAGAGCATTCAGTGACTGGGGGAGGAGCCAGCAGCATATCTTTGCCTATAGCATGCTTCCTTCTGCTTGCAGAATAGTTCTCCTTGGTTTTTTTTTATCTGTAACTGTCGTCTGTACAAGCTTTTGTTCCTGTACAGAACTTATCATGTTCCTCATCACATTTCTATTTATTTCTTCATGCTGTAGGTACATGATGGCCTAGACAGGTGTGAGACAGTGAGCATAGCATACATAAGCATGCATACATATAATAAACAAATACATTATGCTATTGTGTAACACATGAAACATACATGAAACATGTTGTCTGGTGTTCTCCTGCAGGACCAGGCTGGTTCGACGTCTCCCAACGAAGATCTCGAGGCTTCCATCGAACAGACGCTGAGGGCAACGGCGGACCTCAAGCAACAGGTAGGGCTGCTTTGTCGGCTCCAGAGGTCCCAAGTTGCAGCGAATGTGACCCACTCGCGAAACTTGGAGCCACTAGGGTATCGGTTCTCTATCCCTGATTATCTTGCGGGTGCAGCCATTTGGTTGCCTGGTGCAGTAGACCCTTTCTGAAATTGCTCTTAGCAACCATGTGACGCTGACTTCACGGTGCTCGAAAGTGCAGCTGGCCACTACGATTTGGCAAGGTGCTGCCATTAAGATGTATATTTCTGCGACTGCGAGCACCAGTACTGCTGGCCCGATGCACTATCGTGGACGAGGTGCTTAGTTGAAAATAACTTTATACGTTGCGAATAAAGTAAATGTCTACTACGTTGTCCGCAAGACGAGCAAACAAAATTGATGGTGCAGTTCAAGTTTGCGAGTGAAAGTTGCATGAAGTCCTCGCACAAAATGGCAGCTTCGTCTCGTTGGTTTGTTCTTTCACCGGTGATTGAGTTGGTTGTAGCGATTTCAATGGCGACGCTGTTCACATCGGTGACAGAGTCGCTTGTTGCGTCTTTGTTGGCGATGCAGTTTACATCGACGATTGGCTTGGACATCGCGCCATTGCTGCCGGTGTCGCGTGACATCCACATCGAAGATTGCGTCTCTCATCCTGTATTTGGAAGCATCAGTAGAGAAAGTTTGTTTCATCAGCAGTATCAGCCTTTCACATGTCGTTCCCTTCTCGGAGGCCTTTTGTCAGCGTTGAGAGCAAAAATGCTAGGAACAACTGTTGCATCAAGAAGCAGTGGCAATCAGCAATGTTGAAGAGGCAGCGAGTATGCGGCATGCCTGAACTGATTTGAGCCTAGCCTCGTACGTTTTCTGTGCTTAAACGGGCCATGAAGCAATTTTAATGCGAAAGCATTAACAGTCTTATGGAGCGAGCCGACGTCATCAGCTGTGCCAAACGGCAGATAAATTCCCGAAGCCACGATTCGAGGCATCCCAGCTTTGAAACCGTGCAGAAAGCCACTCAAAATGGCAGTGATATGAAGCCGCCACTCATCAGTTTTAATTAGTGCCACCCCATGGTGCTGCGTGCCCGCGCCGGAGCAGAAACGGCTGAGGCTGCCACTAATCCCCTTGGCACCTCAGGTGTTTCTGCTCCGGCGCGGGCACGCAGCACCTAGAGGATCAGAATCGGCCGCGGCCTTGAGAGGATCAGAGGTAGCCTCGGTGCTGAGAGGATCTGAAGCGGCCGCAGCGTGAAAAATGACGTTCATGCTTTCGCATTCACAACCGGTAAGAAGCGCTTACGTGTACCCCGAGCATTTTTCAACTTTTTCCTTTTTAGCTTTCTTTCTCAACTCACAAATATCACAGTGTACCAAACAATTAAAGAAGAGGGAAAGGAGGAGCTCCCTCTTGCTCAGACCAAATACTTTACTAGGGGGAATACATTCCACCCTGCTCATTTGCATTAGACAGAACGCCTACAGCGCCGCTGACGGAGTGGAGGTCCGTGTCAGTCCACGCGCAAGTGCACGTGGATGTTCGCGGCGGCCGCGGCGGTGTCGTCTCCGATTCCACAAGCCCCTTCATGTTTCAAAAGTAGCGCAAGGTGCGTCGATGCACGAGGCACGGGGAACGTGCGATCCTTGGGAAGATCATGGCGGCACAGTGCAGCAAAGTATTTAGCGCACCACTGAGCTAGAGTTGAGACGCCATGTTATTCTTAGAAGTGGCGCGCGGCACGTGTCTCGCGCATTTCCACAACAATGAATTTGGTATGTAGAACATGAATATCATCGATAGCCGAGACCTCCCCGACGATAGATGGCTCTCGCCAAGCCCAGAAAACCTGTCCGCGCCGAGGCTATTGTATTTGAGAGGAGTGGAATGTATTCCCCCTAGTAAAGTATTTGCTCAGACCCTCGTTTGTGTACCCGGACATCGCCATTCTCCCCCTCAAAAAGTGTGGCTGGCCCCAGCAGGGCCTCGTCGGCTAAAAATTCGGACAAAAGTTGCTTTCCGCACTCCGTTCACCCCTAAGCTGACAGTGCTGTGGAAGCTACGTGCCCCTGGGGCCAGCCACACTTTTTTGCCAGTGATCACGCTCCCTCGCGCATACCCTTGCGCAGAGAATGAGGTCCGGTTTGTGATGGAAGGAAGGTGGCTGATTGGTTCAGCAAGCGTGTAGCTGCCGAACTGAATATAGTGAGGTCAGGTGTCACGTGTTGTACGGTGGGGCTGGGTGACGTGCGTTACAGTTGGTATATCACAGCGAAATTGCAGAGAGCTTTCGAAGGGAAGGAGGTACGAAATAGTCCGCTGTGTTTTCAAATTTTTGTACCGAAAATCAGGCTTTTGACTTTCTACCTTCTTTCTTTTTTCCCATTAAACGATTCATGGCCCCTTTAAGTGTTCTCCACCCTGCCATCTCATAGTGATTATGTAGTTGGTTTAAAAAATGGGATGGCTCAAGAAGGAAAAAAAAGGGATACCTTGAAGGAGAGAGTAGTTAAATTCCAAAATCGCATGTACACCACATCCGAATAAAAAGTCTCCTCGGGGAAAGTGACGTGCACATGCTCGGAAAAAGATTCTTTTTATTGCGGGAGCTCTCGTAATGAACCTTCGTGCACAAGCGCATATCCTTTTGTACAACTTCATTTGTCTCGAGCATTGGGAGCACGCATTTAATGGTCTGCAGTTTATATAAATAGATTTTTTGTCGACAGCTGTATTTCTACGGCAGAACAGGAAATCTTACGTCGTTTCCGAGGTTATGCCTCACTTTTTTCTGCCTGCAAAACACCGCGCAGCAATAAAGACGCATCTGGAAAGGCGCGATGCAAGCGCTACACCGTACTGGCCTACGCCACCATCGACGTCGTAATGGCAGCCGTGGCCCCAGCCGCCATTACGAGGTACTGTAAAACCCTTAATTTTCGCACGCCCTTAATCTATTGAAAATTTCACAAATTGGAAATTTCACTAAATTTAAGGGCACGCAAAAATTTTGTTCCTTAAGAGTTTCAGTACAGGCGTTTGAAATTCGCGAAATTTAATGGCCTGGATTATGTCCTCCGTGACCGATTTGCGAAAAATAGAGGCTGCAAAATTAAAGGATTTTACAGCATATGGTGGCGCATTGGGCGTGTAGTTTGGAATTGGCACCGGTGTACGGCTCGGCGTTGGTAAAAGGGTTTTGTGGCGATTGTTACAGTTGGGAAGTGCAACTTGTCGAGTTTTAGACACAGTGTCGGCGAGCTGTGAAGATGTCGCTTTGCTTCGTCGCGAATCGTTGGAACATTTCTGGAGGGTGGAAAGGCACCATTTGAGATTGAGCTTTGGATAACTGGCAACAACAACGCACCAAGATGGCTAAGCTGTGGTTGCTCTCAAGCGTACCTTATTTTCTGGTCTATAACTCGCACCCCCCCATAAACGGCGTTTTCTTGAAAAGGATGATATGTAAGGGGCACCTCTATGTAAATTGCACTTCATAGCGGTGTGCTGTGAAGGGTGGCGTGCAGAGTCGCTGCATCCACAGACCTACGCCTGCGAACCGCTAGAAGAGGAGGCCTTTGGCGGCCAGATGTTTTGTCATTCCCCCTCTGATGCAAGGCTTACGTCATGCAGTTAGGGTCCATTCTTATAAAAGTGTATGTGTAAGTCGGATCGCTGTATAAGACACACCGACGAAAATTTGGGGAAAAAACCGCGACTTGTACACCGGAAAGTATAGTAGGTTATTTAGTGACCCTAGCATAACCGTGACCTGCATATCAATCTTGTGTGCTTGACAATCACTGTTTGCGGTGTGCAGCTCCGAGACACAGCCCTGGACCATGCGGACGAGCTGTTCAAGACCATGGACGAAGGGGAGCTGCTGAACAGGCTGAAGAACGCCTCCCTCGCCGGTGACCACGCCAGGTTAGAGGAGTACGCCGACAAGTTTGCAGAGCACGCCGAGCATGTACAGGAGGTGAGCTGGGTTTATTTTTGGGGGCACTAATGATTCCATTTGTTTGTAGGGGTATGTATTTTCTATAGGGCTAGGGTTTCATGAAGAAATGCCGCCAGAAAAGTGTAATGTAAAAAAAAAATAATGAGAAAGTGTAACACAAAAGTGTAAAACTGTAACATAAAGGTGTAATGTGGAAGTGTAACACTGAGGTGTGACTTGAAAGTGTAATGTGCAAGTGCAACATGAAGCTGTGATATGGAAATGTAATCTGAAAGTATATTGTTGACGTGTAATGTAAAGGTGTCAGTCTAATGCCAAAATGTAACACAAAAGTCTAACATGGAAGTGTAATGTGAAAGTGTCATCTAAAAATAATGTGGTAGAAACGTAATGCAGAAGTGTAATGAGAAGGTGTAATGTGGACGTGTAACTTGAAGGTATAACATGGAAGTGTGATCAGAAATTTAAGTGTAACATTGAAGTGTGATCAGAAATTTAAGTGTAACATTGAAGTGTGATCAGAAATTTAAGTGTAACATTGAAGTGTTATGCAAAGGTAGAATGTGGAAGTCTAACGCAGAAGTGTGGCTCGTAACATTGAAGTATAATCCTAAGGTAGAGTGTGGGAGTCTAATGCCAAAGTGTAACACGAAAGTATAACGTCGTTGTGTAATTTGGAAATGTAACATGGAAGTGTATTGTAAAAGTTTGATCTGAAAGTGCAACATGGTGGAAGTATAATGCAGAAGTGTAACATAAAGGTGTAATGTGCAAGTATAACACAAAAGTGCAATGTGGTATTGTAATGTGCAAGCCAAATGTGGACATGTAATATGCAAGTGTTACACACTTCTCAATAAAGTGGGACGTAAGCGCTAAATTTAGCAGAATATAGTGTGACTCCCACATTGAGAAAAGCTTATAAATTAACTCCCAGTGCAGTTCAAAGGTGCTGTGCCATTTGTGTCTTTTGATTTTTTGCCAGAATAAAAATTGCCCCTTACATTGTATGCACTTCAGCTCTATAATAAAGATCAGGTACCTTCGATTTTTTCTGAGAAGAGTTAAGTGACTGGAATAACCTGATGATGTAGTTTTATAGCCATCATCGACATTGTTTGCACCCCCCCTTAATTAATCGTTTTTTGGTTACAACTTGTTTGCATTTTTTGCATTTTTTCAGCCATTCCTGTCCCCACTGCTGTAAACCCACTCTGCTAATATCCCACCAGGGATTGCAGTATATATATAAGTAAAGAACTGCGCAGAATTTAAGTTTCATTATTAGTGTTTGTTACTAGGACAGTTCGTTATCAAACAGGCTGTTACTAATCAATGGCAATCAGTTCGTCAAACTATGTTTTATCGATAGTTTGTTTCATCAATAGGCTTCCCACATTTGTTTTATTGACGTACCTAGCGATGTTTGGTTTATGGGTTTACGGAGAGGAGATGGGGAGGCCCAAGGCTTAGGGTAAACGCAGCTCAGTCAATCATGGGCTAGCTTTCAGCGACTTCCAAATTTGATTATGCACTTACTAAAAAGTTAGGTTGCTGACAAAATGTCGCACGAGCATACATGTCCACGAAACGTGTGTCTACAAAAAGTTGGCCACGAAACGAGTTTCCACGAAACGATGCGTTACTAACTGGCGGGGGGATTGGTGGCCGAGTCTATTGACGCACCGCCGCTCGGAGCACAAAGAGTGGTAGATTGCGCTGCAGAACCCTGGGATCCTGGACTTAATCCCCACCCTTGCTTGTAAATTTCAACCTGGATGAACATCATACCGGTGTGCGGTTGTGTATCACTACTACGTGTGTATGTAAAAGACCCCAGGCTAGTGGTTGAACGTACTGCACTGGCTAAATGGCTGATCTATAGCAGAGTCCCCACCCCTGCTTGTTTCAACCTGGATGAGCATCGTACCGGCGTGCGGTCGTGTATCACTACTGCGTGATTCACATTAAAGACCCCAAGCTAGTGGTTGAACTGCACTGGCTAAATGGCTCATCTACAGCAGAGTCACCAGGTGCCCTGGGGCTGACTAACTTTCTACTGCTAAAACAAATGCACAACAGAATTTTACTAAGTGGCACATTCTACAAATTGTCAAGTTCACTACAGCTTCATCAATTGAATTAGTCTCTAAATTAATTTCTAAATCAATTAGTGAATATTCACAATTTCTACATTTGTCCTTACCAGGATCCCATGTTTTCAGGGTTTATTTCTAGAGAGGTTTTTCTTTTGTAGCCCATTTTTATTTGAAATGTTGTGGTTATAGAATGTTATTTTCTTCCAAGTCCTAACTCTTTGCTCTCCGGCATTCCTTGGAGGTTAATTCTGTCATATCCCCATTTCTAAAAAATTTGGAATGAGAAAAAATAATTATGATTATTTGGTTAATTCTGTCATATCCCAATTTCTCAAAAAATTGGAATGAGAAAAAGAATGATGATTACATAGAAAAAGAATAGAAAGCTATTTTAACGGTGAGCAACTCTTATTAGAATGTTTCATCGTACACGTCGAAGGCATTAATGCTGCCTGAAGTAGATTAGGGCTCATAATCAATTCAGGCACACTAGACACTAAAGCGACAGTGCAGCAGAGCTGGTTTAAGCTTGACACAGTAACTCTGTACCACGAGGGGGAAAAAAAGACAATGGGAAAACACAGAACTACTTTCCAAGCTTTTGTCACTGCCCTTGGACGTTCACACTGTAAACAGGAGGAGCCACAAGCCTCAGCACGCAGTGCAAGAGCATTAGCCATTGGTCAGAATGCAGTCTCTGGTCATAGCTTCAACTACAGTCTGTTGCAGGTTGAGAATAGCTGGACAAGTCCCTCCGACAAAGCTCTGTGCTCACCATGATTGGTGGTTTCTCCCTCTCCAGCATTCAATCTGTTAATGTGGAGAGAGTGGAAGACTTTGTGGGAGGACCTTGTCCTGCTCTCCTGAACCTCCAACAGACTATTAGCCCCGAGAGCGAACACAAGCGTCGCTGCGGTCGCCGCGCCCTGATTGGGTGAGGCGTACCGTGACGTCAGGGGGAGTACACCGCTCCGCGATCTCGCATCGGCTCGCTTCCCAGCACCGGTTTTCTGGTTTGGTGTTGTGTGCCGCAAGCTCTTCGAGGAGCCGGACTTCGTTTACCCGGTGTACAAGACGTTGAGTTAGGCCGATATTAACGTGCTTCCGTACATTTTATAAGCCTGCTTGTCCCTTTTACCTTTAAAATTGGGTTACAAATCCTGAAAACTATCGGCGGAGACAATTACGTTGATGAACCTCCCCGTCCGTCCACACGACGCAAGGCAATCTTGAGAGGGGTCGGTGAAGCGGTGACGCAAGTGTTTCAGACGCTGGAATTCTGTCCCTTGCATGTTCATGATTTAGGACGATATTACATCCCGCTTTCAAGACATCTGAAGCGGCCTTTATATCATGGGCCTTTCGGTGGTCGGCAAATTAGCTCGCGACCCCGACTCTGCGCTGCCACTCTGCATGCGCTGGTTTGCAGATGTTTTAAAGGCCCTGCGTCTGATGATCTTTGAAGAGCTCATGGAACAGGGTTGTTTTACATAAATGTAGCTTCTTCCTGAATCAATTATATAGTTTATATGCGTATGCAGGCATATTTCTTAGTGGATTCACAATTACTCTAAATTAGTTAGTATGGTAGCAGCAAAAACGGCCGAATTTCCCCCAGTTGCCTCTATGATATGTAGTAAACTGCCCAAAATATGCACAGCAACAGTGCCGTAATTTGGAATGTTTATACTTTTTCCTGACATTCTTTATTCCAGCCTTTGGTATTCGGAAAATACACCGTTTAGTCTGAATTGTCATTTCCATTTAAGAGTCACTGCCGCAGGTCCCCAAAAGCTTCCTCAGCCTCCAGACTCCCTGCAACTGGACTTTCTGACAACAAAGGAAAACAGGAGTAAAAGCAAGCATTCGAACGTCTGTCCAGTGGTAGATGCAGCACTGGTAGCAGAAAATGTGGAACCTGTGAAGGGCGACAGTCTGCGTGAGAAAAGCTTCTGGTACTTTAGCTTCAGGACAATTCGATTTAAGTAAAATCTCAATTTTAGGGCTTAATGGACTAATAACGAGCTAGACACCATAACTTACGTTTGTTATATATTACTTGAGGATTGATATAAACAAGTCCACAGATACCACCCGTGTAGTCCATTGAAATACTATCCGAATCCAGCAAAGGTCAAGTGCGAGCAATGTATATAATAAATGTTCCTTGTTTGTTTTTTTACTTTGCCCCTACACTTGGGCTGTCTTACTTGTGATTCTCTCCCCATGGCCGAGACTGTATTTAGCACGTTGCTCGAGCAGCATGCAGCTTTTCTGCTTCGGCGATCTTGTTTAAAGACAGAGATACAAAAATAAAAATAGTATACATAATTTGCCAATTCATTCGGACAATCAGCAGCGTTTATTGTGCGAGATGTAAATCTATAATGATGCTCCTGCAATTGTGACCATATTTCTTTATTTTCACATACCAGCTCCGATTCATGCGTTGCCTGCCCTGTCAACCATGCTTAAAATGTTCGTTGAAGTTTCGCCTGTAGCTACAGGCCATACCTCAATAAAGGCATATATAAAAATTTACACTTCCTACGAAAAACACACCAAAAAAAATTAAATAGAAACGAGCGCGCCGACAGCTAGCGTCGTCACAGCCTCCACAGGGCGAGCGGGGCGAGTCGGGGAAAAATTCTCTCCTCGCCGTGACGTCACCCCGGTTCGCCGTAAGGGGGCGCCAGGCGAACTTCTCGGGGCTAATACTATACAAACGCTACCTCCTGTGCCCTGAAGAAGTCCCAAAACTTGAACAATGGATTGCACAAGCAGTGGCATCTCCAAGGGGGGGGGCGACGGGGGCGGCCTCCCCCAAACAAAGTTGACCCCCCCCCCCTCCCCCCTTCTCGGAGGGCAATTTGCCATTGGTGGGCCCCTCGGTCCACAATAAAGAATGGGAGAATAGTTACCCTTACAAATTCCCCCCCCCCCCCTTCCCGCCCAAAATGGAGCTCTGGATCTGCCCCTGTGCACAAGGCACATGCTTAGATTAAGTTCTTTTGCTGCCCAGGAATACAGCAACATTGAGCTATTGTTTTAATTGGACATTGATGATAAACCCCTTTTGTCAGTCATCTGAGCTTAGGAAAGAGGCTGATGTGACCACTTGTTGGGACAACTGACTCGGTGCTCTATTAGAACTAATGTGAATTATGCCAGGCTTTTTTTTTTGCGTGACCTTGAGTCTTGGAATTTTGAAGCGCAGCTCTTGGGCGCCAGTTTCCGGCTTGAGCGGCGTAACCGCGTTTGCATTATGGGACGTTTCCCATAATGACGTCACACGTGACGTTACGTGTGATATCACGACGGTCACTAGGGTCATGAGTGACGTCACGAAGGTCACGACCTCCACAGTGACCTTCACGAGTGACTTTCGTGATGTTACGAAGGTCACTCGTGAAGGTCTCGATGAAGGCCACTAGTGACGTCACGAGAATCACAAGTGACGTCACAAGTGACGTCACGATGGTCACTAGGGTCATGGGTGACGTAACAAGGGAGGAGGGAGGGGGAGGGCGAGGGCGGAGGAGGTGGAGGGGAGGAGCAGAGAAAGAGGAGGAGGGGAGGGTTCAAAGGAGGAGAGGATACCCTCCTTCCCACACCCTCCCCTCCTCCTCCTCAAGATCTGCGCTCTAATTCGACATTATAGAGAATTGGAAACGTCTTTCATTTTTTCTAGATAAGTTTCAGCTATCAAAAATCTTACCCATGAGCTCTATTCGGAATTTATTGACTCGATAAGAAAACACAGAACCCTAGACACGCCCCAATGTGACGCTAAATCAATCGGTCATTCTGCGTATTGCTAATTTTGTCATTTTATTAATTATACAAATCACAGTAGTCAGTGACCTTGTAACGCACAGGGCAAAGGTTAGCTCCAACATAACTTTGTTCTTCATCGACAGCAATTAGCCTGAATCTAAGAAATACTGGACCATACTGTCAACTCGGACGTGGATAAATGAGACAAGCTTGTGCTTGACCAGTTGGCAGACAGGATGAGCTCACGCTTTGCGCCCCCCGTGGTGCCCAGGTGTGCAGGCTGCTGTACCACGTGGCGAGCACAGAGGCCCTCCAAGTCACAGCGAAGAACACGGACGCCTGCCTTAAGGTCTACGGCTCACAGGTATCCCCCTCACGACCTCTCCGCCTTCGTTCGCTGTAATTGCTGTCAAAAAAAAAAAAAAAAACGCTGCTCCCAGAGCTTTTTTTGTTTTTGTTAGTGATCTGATTACAATGGAATTTCCCTAGCACATTTGCCTTTGCATCTTTTTGGGCAAATATGTGCATACTCTATTTTGACGTAACAAATTAATTAGCTTGGATACTATTAAAAATTTGATCTGAAAAGACTGTGGCAGGATTAGGACAACTTCAGAAATTGAAATCAGAAAGTAAACATATCTCAGTAAACTAGAAAATCTACTTTATCTGGGAAGGTATTAATGAAAACTCTAGAATGATTTGTAAGTTGTTAATTACACCTTAAATCTTTTTTTTTTTTTAACTAATTGTATGGGGTAATAGTAAAAAATACTTCAGGCATATTTGTAATACTTATACACCCCTTATTTGATACCTCAATTACATGTTTTTGAGGAAAAAAAGATTACGGATATTCATTGCATACCGGTAAAGTTATGACTTTCATAAAATAGCAAAAAATGTAGAAAGTTTATTGTGAAATAACAGTAAAAAAAATATAAACAGACCTATTTTGGTTGTCATATCATACTAATATTGAAAAATAAATAAGACTTCTTTCACAAAAATACTTGAGGACAATTTCTATCTTCAGAAGCATGATTTCAAAACACTTTTTTATTTTTATTTGTTTACCTCAAAGAGCACTGTACCCCTTTAAAGAAACACTCAAATAAATTTTTTTTAAAGTGCCAGATGGGACACATATTTTATCAAATTTTTTCACGAAAATAGTGCAATATTTACGGCGCAATACGGAATCTAGGGGGAGGTCACGACCCACTCTAGACTCCATCCACAGAACGGTGGCCTTGCCCATTGCTAGTGGATTGGCTTGGCTGCTCGGCCGAACATGTTCGCGAGCTTATAGTGTCTCCTTGTCGAGACGTCCGGTGCATCTTGTCTGCCGTCTGACAGCGTCTGCTAGTCACGTGGGCCGACACGCGACTACTTCGTCTGTTATTAAAACACGCTCTGCTACCGCCTGAAACCCCCATGAGAAGCGACCATGCAAGTGGCATGCCAGCATCTGCCATCACGTGCTTCCATCTGCTACACTCCAGAACACGCAACCATGAAAGCATTCCATCCTGCAGGAGCAGCAGTGCAATACAAGCATATGTCAGTGTCTTTCTATGTGTTCTAAAAACAACCGAAAGGACTAGAGTCATTGAAATAAATATGTAGTTTTTAGAGTTTTTCCATCCGTGGTATTTATTTTGCATGGCATCTGCGAGCAAGTGGGTGAGCGTCACAATGCACAGCTAAAACGCAACCTAAAAATATTCGTTTTGGCGGGCCAGCTGCACCGAAAACCTTGAGAGCTACTTGCCTTTTGAAGTGAAATGATGGGAGAATACCTGGACAAGGCTTGGTCCGAGGCGAATGCTCGATTTCCTTCAGCCAAATGGCGCGCAAATTCTTGTGTAGGCACCTTCTCAGTACTGAAACCACGCATGTTTGTAACCACGACAGTTCCACAATTCACGGAGCGGCAGAGTTGCTTTTACAGGGACTGATATCTTTATTGAGGATCAACACGTGCAGAAGAACAAATCGAGTCAGATCAACCAAGATAGTTGACGTGGGATACTAGGCTTTTGCCAGTCCCGCTGCAATAACAAGCACCCGCGCAGCAGCTCCGAAGATGTGCACTTGCAACGGTTGTTCGCCCCAAACTACTTCAGTTGACATCTTCCTTTAAACAGCTAGGTGAAGCAAAGTGACTCGCACTCATCAAAATGGACAAGCTCAACGGGCTAAGCGGTGTATGGAACTGCTCGTTGCAAATGGTGGCAGCCATGTTTGTTATCGTTTGATACCAAAGCAGAAAAGGCAATCTCGGGATACATTTGAAAAAAAAAATAAAGACTCTATCTAGATTCTTTGTTTCTCAACCGTAAAAATTTGTGGAACAAAAGACCGTTGCAGCACGGAGAAACAATTCTGCTACCAATATTTTACGCATCAATTGTCTCTCCAGCCAATGAGAGGTATAAGCACGGCATAAGCACGACATAAGCACTGGGCAGAGCTTGTTAGGTCGTGACCTCCAGTTTCTCCATCTAAATTGTGCTTGTCAGCATATAAATATTGTAAAAACCTTTTATTTTGTTGTGGAAATATTTTTTGGGTGAAATACTTGTCTCTTTCAGGCCCTTCCTGGGGTTTTTAAGCTCTGAGCGAACATATAGAATCTTTTCAGTGGCCACCATTCGCCTAGAGGGTGCGAGTTGCACCCCATTTCAGGTGGAAGTCAATTTAATCTTGCGTATAGCCACTGTTTCATTTGTTTCTGCTGCACAGCCAACTTGCTATCTGCTGTTGCGAGTGTCTCGGTGCTAATTTAATGGTAGAGATTTGGACACTTCGAATAGATTTTTCTCCACTCTTTGGCCTTAGCAGCCCTTGCGCCATAACAACCCAATCCAAAGCAAACCAATAGTTTTTTCTCCATTACATCTTTTTAATATAAATTTCATTTTAGTCAATCTATCTTTTGATCGCCAAAAAAAAGGCTCTTTCTTTGTTTTTTTTGACTGAAATTCATTAATTAAGGAATGCACCTGAGGGCAGAGGTCGGCATTTTAGGTCGCCCTCACTCACCCTCACCCTCACAGCCACACTCACCTAAGCCCCTCACTCACCCTCACAGCTACACTCACCTTCAGCCCCTCACTCACCCTCACCCTCACAGTCACACTCACCTTCAGCCCTTCACTCACCCTCACTGAACCTCACGGCCCTCACGCACTCACCGCCCTCACAGCCCTCACGGCCCTCACGGCCCTCACGCACTCATAGCCCTCACGCCACTCACCGCCTTCACGGCCCTCACCGCCCTCACGCCACTCACCGCCCTCACCGCCCTCACGCCACTCACCGCCCTCACGCGCCTCACCGCCCTCGCGGCCCTCACACCCCTCTTGCCCCTCACGCACTGATGGCCATCACGCCACTCAGGCCAGCTTCAGATGGGGCAATTTCGCCCAGAAACTTTACGTCGCAATACCAGCAACACGGGCCGCCCGCGATCACACGCAGCAACCAATTGCTGCAATTTGCCATCGTCATCATAAAATTTTATTTTTCTTGCACTATTTAGACGCAATTACGCGTTATAAACGTGTTTTTATGCATTTAAATCTCGTTAAGAATACTAATGCACCTTTCTGAAACAGTTTATTCTAAAAAAAAACCGATCGATTTCAAACCAGCACCAAGTCTTTCGGTGTCATCATCACCGGCACGAGGTATCACGTGAAATTTTTGCGTCCCTGATTGGATGCAGCCGCTTCAAACGCATTCGAATAGCTCCGAGTTGCTTGCTTATTTCGAGCCGGACCCGGTCTCAGCAATTCGTGTCGATCTAGGGAAAGCTAGAGAACAACCCGCCATTACCACCAAAATTGCTGAGAAAGATGCTCGATCTGAAGGGGGCCCACGCACTCACCGCCCTCACCCGCTCATGGCCCTCACACCACCTCATGTACCCACCGCCCTCACGGCCCTCACGCCACTCACCGCCCTCACGCACTCATGGCCCTCATACCCCTCATACCCCTCACCGCCCTCACGGCCCTCACCGCCCTCACGGCCCTCACGGCCCTCACAGCCCTCACAGCCCTCACGGCCCTCACTCACCCTCAAACTCATGAATTTTCCTGGTTCAGAAACTCACTCACCCTCACCTCACCTGTGAAGATGAGGGTGAGTGAGGGTGAGTGAGGGCCCTCATGAGTGAGGTTTGCTGAGGTATGCCTGTGGGATATTTTTGCTTCTTCATTGATGTCTTTAATAAGAGGTGGTTGTTGAAGACAAAGGAGACATAAAACTTGTGTGATATTGCGAAAGAATGTTATTATAAATATAAATTACTACTTTCCACATATTCTTTTGATAGACTCTCCAGGCATCCTCTTTTGTATCTACTGTCTAAACAACTCTTGACGAATTTTATCTCGGCTAGAAACTGTCGTAATTTCCCTTGAGATTAACATGTACCGAGCTCAAACCTTGCACCGCATTTTTTATCGTGACTAGTAGCAGGCGACGCCACTAATTTTATTAATTCGAGGCTAGGGGTTCAAAAGCTGACCCCCCTGGGTAGTGCCTTTTTTTTAAAATTATCGTTGTCAGTTATACAGAGCTTCGTTTGAAATCGTAGGAAACGCTTTGTCCAACCTCCAGAACGCTAAAACAGTCTGCGACCGAGCAAAACAATGTTGCCCGATCTTCTCTCGTTACCCTTTTCAAGGCTCAGGAATTGCATTCAGCACTAGACAACAGACAGGGAAGTCGGGGAATGGAATGTCAACACCTTAGGCGTAGCTTCTTCGGTCGGTGAGCCCGGCCGCCTTTTGGGACGTGCAGGTTGTGAGTGCGTGCCGCACCCTGATCACCCACCCGGTGAGCAAGATCGCCAAGGAGAACCTGGAGGTGTTCACGGAGGTGTGGCAGTCACTAGTGAACGACGTCGCTTCTCTGTCCCGGGAGGCCAGTCAACTGTGCAGGGCGCCGCCCCAAGGCCCTGACAGATCCGTCTACATGTCGCTGCCAAGGCCGGGGGTAGGCTCTCTTTTTGCACTTGCGTTGACGTCGTTCTGCACGTGGAGATTCAGCATATGCTGAAAATGGTGGTACTAGTGTATTCATAGGCTCAAAGGGGACTGGAGTCGATTCTGAGATCGTCCTTCTGTGGTGACAAGTCAATCTAGACGCTCTAAGCATCCCAACAAACCCGAAACCATAATTGGGCGTAGTTTATTTCCTCGCCAAAAGCGTGTTCAAAGATCGCGACACACCCTTTTTGCGAAGAATTTTCTTCCGAGTGAAGGTGGACAAAGGGCGCTTGTTGGCGAGTTGCAAGCGATGGCTTCGCCCGCGGAGAAAGAGAGGAGTCTTATCCGAATATGTACCTATCAGACTCTCTTCGAAACGAGTTATAATACAATCCTTCAGAATCTCCATGTATTGCGGGGCTTTGATTGGTCCGCACAATGTAGTCCGTGAGAGAAAAGAGTCCACATGTTTTTCTCTTGGCCTAAGGTGAATAGGCAGTTTTGTAATGCTATAAGACTTGGGATATGTGGGAACTAACAGATTGTAAACAATATAAGATCAAAAACGACCGTTTTCAAAAGTGACTTCACTGCCCCTTCAAGATATTTAATAAATTTTCTGTATGTATTCGCACAGACTTCTAGCATATATACCGTAAAATCCCGAGAGATGCACCATTCCGAAAGGTAACTCACCCCTATTTTTGGATTGATTTGCTATTTTATTTTAAACACCAAAAGATATCCCACTCCTAGTAATCATAGTGTTTGTATTAATGATGACTTTGACGTAAATGCATCTAGTTAGCTTTGGCGGGATATAAGCGGAACTGACTGGGGAGTACAGTCATCTTCGCTTCATTGCCCCTCGCCGCGATAACATGTTTGACAGAGACACATGATCCATCCAGAAATAGCATTTCTTCAACTCTTCTTGATTGCACACTGAAAGATAGACCACTCCTTATTTTCCCACAGTTTTTTGTCAGTTTTAGGTGGGCTATTTCTTGGGATAATATGGTAGTGGAAATGATGGTACTATATTCGTAGGCTTAATATATTTTATAAATTTGCCGGAATTGTGCACTCGTGGACTTCTAGCGTACGCTAGAAAGGGATGGTAGAGTATATTTGTGGGCCTAATATATTTTGTAGATTTGCCAGAATGTTTCACACACAGACTTCTAGCATATTGTCACGCACGTCGCGCGTATGTGGCCGAATGATTACCGTGCTGGGCTGTTGCACGGAGGATCTTTAGTTCCAGGAAGCGGAATGTTTTTTTATTTATTCCTTCTACTAGGCATTCTCGCAAATTCGAGAACTTTCTTGTCTGATCGACCTGCAAATGTTCTACGCGCCGAATGTTCTAGGCCGAATGTTTCAGAAACCCACACGGCTACAAAAGGTGCTTTGCGTGGCAAGCTGGAGTCAGTCTCGCACCAGCATTCGATCCCGCTGTTACACCGACTTCGATGCTCTGTTGTTAGCCTCTGTTTCCTTGTTGTTTTGGGCACAAGTTCGCCCCATTAAACGTTTCAGTTCCCTCAGTTATTCTTTACGTCGTCGCCTAGTCATTCGTGACAATATATTGCATACAATGGTACTAGTATATTTGTTGGCTTAATATACAGTCGAACCTCGATATAACGAACTTCAATGTAACGAAATCCTCGATTTAACGAAGTATTTTATTTTTCATAATTTCTTGCCCATAGATTCCATGTATTTTTAGTCCCTATATAACGAAGTCTATTTTGCTGCTATTTCAATATAACGAAGCGCCATTGCCATAGAAGGCAATAAATAAATCAACTCTAAAAAACAACTTCGCAAAAAAATTGTGGTTAAAAAAAAAAATTATGCGCAAACGCGAGCGCTTGATAGGTTACTTCACGGGGACAGGCCTTCCAACGTTCCTAGGCTGCCCGAGGATGCGGCGCCGGTAGCGCCGGCGAGGCATGCGGCAAGCGGATTCCGCGGGGCTGGCCAGAAAATGCCGAGCAAAAAGTTAACACGGCATAACAGCATCACCACTGACATTCACTGATCATCATAGTCCACTGTACCGCGGGAGCCAACTTCAGCGGGGGAGCGACGTGATGGCGCGACCGCGCGATAGGGAGCCTCCCTATCGCGCGACGCGACCGCACGGGCAGTGCCATCTAGGAGAAGACCGAAAAGACCGATTATCGTCTTGCGACCGTGATGTAAAGCAAAGCCGCAAGCACACTGTGGGCACAAGGGGGCAAGTAAACTGTGCGGTCAAGAGTGCTGTGTAGGTTGGAAACATTGGCACCGCTTAAACCGCCTAAACTAAACAGCTTTATTTGTTAACCGGGCGGTTCACTTACGTGCTTGCTGCCATAAGGAAACGTAAAGTTCTTTCTTTGGATGAGAAAGCAAACGTTTTGGACGCCATCCTGAAGAAACTGCCGAGATCACGAGCACTCGGGAAGTGCTCGACGCAATGGACGTACTGAGGAGGTACACGGCGTCGCATGGGCAGCAAGATGCCGTGCAAGCGCTCTGGGCGCTCGAACGCCGTATTGGCCGTATGACGCCGCCGACGCCGCTGCTACTGTCGGACAAGGCGCAAGCAAAACTCGCGGACTACTTTGCCCCTAAATAAATGTCATTTTCGGTGAGTTTTCATACCCGTAAAATGTTTCGGAATTTTTTTTTCGCATGCTAAAGCCAAATTTCGATTTAGCGAAATTTCAATGTAACGAAGTAAATTGCGAATTTTACCGACTTCGTTACATCGAGGTTCAACTGTATCTCGTAAATTTTCCGCCATCTATTCACACTGGCCTCTTGCATATGGTGCTAGAAACAATACTTTTTTTGTGAACTCAAAAATACTTTGTAAATTTGCCAGGCTGTTTTCGCTCATGGACTTTTAGCATATATACTGGAAAAAATGGTATAGGCAGTATTCAATGGCGGCCATGGCTGTGTGCCCGAATGCTGAGTACGTGCTGACGGCGAGCTTCCACAGTTCTTTTGCAGCGTGCATTCCGCACCTTTAAGATTGCCGTTCTTAGCAGCCTATTAATGTGGGCTGGCCCTGAGCAGGTGCTCTAAACAGCGCCCTCAAATATGGCGTCCAGTGAATACCTCCTATAGTGTCTTCGTGGGCTTAATATGTCTTATAAATTTACCAGAGCACAGTTTTTTTGGAATATATTTCGCGGGGACAAAATTTTGTAACCAGGATAAAACTGATCCAATGCCCCATGTATGCGTGATATATAATGTAAACTAATTAAATTTTGCGTTAACCTAAATGTTGCGATTAAGAATCGGTCGAGAAACATTTGTTGCGCGAACATACATTCATAGAACCGAACAGGCAACTCTCCTCAATTGCAAAATTTTTCTCCCGCAAGATTCTCGAAATACTGAGCTGACGAATATAAAGTTGTTTACAATATGTAGTATTTGCATGGTGAAGTTTTCAGTATTGTGTCCTAGTATTCTCATTTTCGAAAAGTAAATATCACCACAACATTGTGCGGGAGAGAAAATGTTACCTGCATCAATAGATAAAGCAAGAAATGTATCTACAGGCCGACGTCCACCTAAGCATGATAGTTGTCGGCCAAGAAATGTATGCATGTGCAAATAGTGGCTTTTTAAGTGAATTCAAAGCGAATGATGGTTTTGGCCAAATATGTTTTAGTCAAATATTGTTTCTTAAAACCTTTCACTATTGCGCTGCACCATGCTTGAAGTAAAATCTAGCTGAACTCATGAAGGTTGTTCCCAGCTTCCACTTGTCCACATCTAAGCTCAGTTCCTTTTAATCTCACTATATGGACTGTGGAACAGGAAGGTTCAATGTCCACACTGGGGTAGTGAGTAAATGACGAATTTTACATAAAATTAAACCTTATAGAGATCCCCAGCTGTGCCTAACGAGGGAATTTGTAAACGTTTTTACTATATGCAAAAATATCCTTTCTTCAGTCTCAAATTCGTCAAATAGAACCAGCATGAATTATATATGCAGGTTGTCAGGACATTTCTGTCTAACGTATACTTTTACATAATAGCCACAGCTTAAATTTTGCATTTTTACTTTATTGCAATATAGATATTAACATTTATGAAGTTTACAATTATTTTTAAATAATTCACCAGGAGAGTGCGTTGTGTACAGATACACCATCCCGCCTCAAAGGTAGGCTTTTCTCCTAAGCATGCAGCTGCCCTGCGGCAAAGCGAGCTCCACGAGTATCGTTTCTCTGCAGTGCATTGGTGCTCGTTAAGAAGCGCACTTTACGGGGCTAGTCCACTATAATCACCGCTTCAAAAAGTATGAATATTTCAGTTCATCTCAAAGCAAACGTCGAATAGCATATCATTCAAAGATACCACTCAAAAATTTTAATATTTGCACATCCCTAAATGGCATTGTTAGTGCCTGTGGCATTTATTTCAGGGAAAACACCTGTCACCATTCCTCGCTGAGGAGCTATTTCGCAAAAATCAATGCCACAGTTGCCCTCAATGCCATTGTCTGGTTTGACAAATACCAATCCTAAGTGGATATTAGCTCATAGAAGAAGTTTGTTTTTCTGCCTTATCTTTTCATCCATGTAGCGTCACATCCTCAGACTTAAGCCTTCTATCATGACCTCTGGCGTGACATTCGCGCGGAGTTTTGACTTACCGAGATGCACAGTCTGTTTATGCGACCCAAAAAATTAGGTGTTATTTTCTCTCTTGGCCCCTGTATGTTGCAGTGCCTCTTGCACTGCAAACTTTAAGTGACCAGAGGCATTGCTGGGATGTAGTGTTTCCACAGAAGCTCATCCAAGGTCATATCGCTGTCCCCGATCTTTAGAGCAGTATAAAGTTACATGTCCCAGCTAAATTCGCGCGACATTGCTACGCGTTTCATCCCGAAAAGATTATTGAGGAATCACTAATGCACTGAATTCAATTTTTTCCAATAGTCTTGTCCAGCACAATTCCTTTTCCACACATTATTTCACCTTTCAATACCGGAATGTGTCTGTAATATGATTTATTATGGATTAGGCTCCTCAATGTGCAACTTTAAGCATTCCATGTCTTTTCATGTTGAATCTATTTTTTATTTGTAGAAGTGGCTTCTGCTGTGCACCATTGTGAAAGCCCTTGTGGTGTTTTTGGGCATGCGGTAAACATCCACATCGTGCGTGATAACAACAGCATCTCATTGCGGTTCCTTCGTCTTTTCCTCGCGACAGCGCCACGGCACAACGAGCAAGCCTCTCAAGCCCATGAAGCTGGATACGGAGGTACCAGACTAACCCCTTGATCCCGCCCCCAGAGGCCGTCCCCTCGTACCCCTGTGCAACCGCATGAATCCCCCTGCGCCGTTACGCGTTGCGTCGCCACTGTCTGGCGGGCCGAGGTTGCATGCAACCCCAAAGAAGCGAACCCCTTCCAAAGACGAGACTGTAGGAATTTGCTGTTGCTAGTTGCTTGCAATGTTGTGTTTGCATCGATCTCAATTTTTGTTGCCAATTTTTAGGAGTTTGGGCGACGTCTTGTATCTTAGGTTTTAGCTTTTATTTTCAGACTCTAGTTGAGGTGACTCACGTCCAAAGCAGCTCTTTGAGTAGATACTCCTAGTCTTTTTACCTGCGACTTTGAAACAGAAATAAACTATGCCTCAAGCGTGCGATTGGGCAGGTCGCAAAGTTTTGCTAAAAAAAGCGGGTGCAGGCTATGCGTGTCGAACCAATGCAATATTGTTCACAGTCCTGTTGAGCAAGTCGAAATACGTTTTGCAATATGCCAAAGTGGTTCATTAATGCAAATTAATTAGGCACCGTTTTGAATATTCATTTGTGTGCAAACCCCTTTAATAAAAAAGTTGTAGGGCATGTTGAGAAACACCCAGTCATGTCTTTTCCATCAGGGTAACCTTCCTACGTCTAGTCTTTCGGAGCTTTAAGGAAAGTGTGCGAAATTTAGGAACATGCCACGTGACTAAAGGCCCCACCATCGCAGTTCGGTAACGGTTAGTCGTGTAAGATTTTTTAAAAATCTTACGCACTTTCTTTAAGACTTATAAAAATTAGATGCACAAGGGTTACCTTGATGGAAACGACAGAGTGGGTCTACAACTTTTGTATAGGAAAATTAGCGCAGGAATAATTATTTAAAAAGTTAGCTCATTACTTTATATCAATTACCCAGTTTGGCACATTGCAAAAAAAATGACTTTTCAAGAGGAACGCAAACAATACTGCATTGGTGCCACATGCGTGGCATGCGGCAGCATATTTTTACGTCTTCTCAGAAGCTAGCTGAAACATCAGCTGTACAGTAGCGCTAGTGAAACATACATAAATCATCTACAAGTACTAAGTGCACCCTGAAACATGAGGTGGTTTAGAGTTAGACTACCGCACCTGCAGTGGACAGCAGATGACCTCACTGTGCCAAATAGAGTTTGTGACTTCTGTGCAAGCGGAACTCTGTGTCTCTAGTGACTTGTTATACTTTAGCTGTGTTTTGAAGCTGAGCGCTCTTTCTTTTTCTGAGCTGTTAGGTGTTTATGAATAACAATGGAATTGGGTCACACAGTCAGCTAATAGTTTATTACTTCACAGCTGCCTTCAGGCACTTAGCTAAATAAATGTGTACACATCTATGCACTACTAGCGCAAAATTGTTAAAGGGCAACTCCGGCCAAAACTCAAAATGAAATAAATTACTGGTATCGCTGTAGTGACACAAAATACGACCCCAGCCTAAATATTACGTCCGGGGGACGCCGCATTCTCAACTAATGCCGATAGCAAAAATGCGACCCGCCACGAGTCGCTGCTCCTTAGCGGGCGGCCAGCGGGTTGCCGATCACTAAACCAACATTGGGCCGTGACGTCCGTATCATTCTTTTTTTCCTCCGGTCCGGGCGTTGCGCGGAGTGCACTTCTTTGAGCCGCTACCACCGCTACTTCGGCTTGTGATTGACGTGTTGAGCCGTTGCTTTTATCTGTGGCCCGTGTAGCTTCGGTATAGCCGTTTGTTTATTTGCGTGTGAGTACTTTAAGACACGTTTTAGCGAGTAACTCGGTGCGCCCAAGACTGCCCAGCTGTTTCTCGAAAGATGCCGAGTGCAACTTGTAGCGCTCTGGGCTGCTCAAAAACCCGCTGCGCAACACGGAGGTGCTTTTTCACAAGTTTCCGACGGACCGGAAATTGGAGAAGGTGTGGGTGAACGCTGTTCGACGAGTGGACTTTGGACTTCGGCTTTTACGCGCCCGAGGAAAAAAGAACGAAAAACAGACGTGTACCCAGCTCACGTGCGTTTGGGCGCCGCGGCCCGTGCCAGAGAGCCTCAAACCTTCGTGTCTGGGACTGACCCGCAGCGCGAAAGCGAGAGGACCCCCAGTACTGTACGTCACTGGCAGCGCGGCGTAAAGCAACGCCGCTCCATCCATGGAGCCCAGATGGCAATTTAGGCCTAGCGACGAGTACGGAAGACCGCACACACAGCAACAGCCGCCGAGTACGGCACCGAACGAGTTTACTTGTTTTCCAGTCGCTAGCTTTTGGGTATACAAGCGACGAGTACAGCATAGCGCACGCACGGCGGTGGCCGCCGAGTACAACACCGTACGAGTTCACGGGTTTTCGAGTCGCTAGCTTTTGGGTATACGCACTAACTCTTACTACATATGCTCGATAACTACCATGTATACAGAATTATAACAAAATCAGCTTACCTCCTATCTTTAGACGGCTAGCGCAACAGAGGTAGGTGGCGCTCGGCCTGCGTACTCGTTGAACGAGAACGATCCTGACGTCACGTTCACATAGCGGCTGATTTCCAGTGTTGCCGGGGCCTCGAGCGGCTAGTTTCGGTTTTGTTGGCCGCGCCCCAAACAAAACTTTGAGGCGTCGATATCTTCAAAAGTACGCACAATAAGGAGAAAAAAATTACACCTTGCAATTCAGGGACGCTGACTGCACTAAAAACAGTCATAATCCCAAAATCGAAAGTATGGACCGGAGTTGCCCTTTAAAGGCTAGTTGCCTTCGAAATTGGAGCTGTACTCTTATCTCGTTTTAGGTGTACAAGAAAATCAATCTCCTTTTTGTTTTGTTTTTTCCCGAGGCAGTTGTTTGAATTTAACGGAGATTTTAGAAATTGAATGGAATTCTAGAATAGAAATAGAAATAGCCTATGCAGTTTGTCTAATGATATCGAAATGAAATTTTTCTAGGCAACTGTTTTAACTAGTATATTGTTTCTTACGCAAAACAGCTTTCCTAGATTTTACCCAATCAAGTTCCTATGTTTTCTGTTTCGTTTTGTGCCTCTATACAATGCACATTAATGCAAGTACAGGACATTTGTCCAAATAGAACTCGAGTGTCTCACTTTTAATGGTATGTCTAGAACAATAACACTTTTGAGCTTTTATGTGTCACAACTGTTAATTGCTAAGATTAAAGATCAGGGAGGTTTTCAAGTTAATTTTTTTTTATATATTGAATTTAGAATAAATTGTATTCCCAGAAAGTTTTTTTTAAATTTCCAAAATCAGTTGGGCTGGTTGGCTCATCTTAAATATTGTCTAATACTTTGTCATGGTAGTATATTTTTTCTAATATTTTTGTCTATCCTAAAATTTAGATTGTACTCAAATGTTCACCTTACATAGATTTTTTTTACTTTACATTACTATGCAGAATTTAGCAATAAGTCTATTGACACAATTTGTTCTATCCTTCAGTTTCTTCCAATGTTTCCCGACTGGTTTCCGCCATGTCTGAACCAAAGCATGAACTGCATTTGCATCTTTTGAAGTGACAATAAAGTCTCTGTTTCCCCTAACCTTGCCTGTTTGTTGTCGAGTACTTTGCAGTTAGGCTTAGAATTTGAAACATCTGTGTTGTTTATTCTTATGTTTTTATACGAGTTGCTCTTCAGAACTGTGGCATGGAGGTTCTTTCATTTGCATCATTTATGCCTGCTTGAACTAACAAAGTATATACAGCAGCAATGGTGAGTAGTCCATTTTTTTTTTTCCGATTTGCGTAGCCTCTAAGTTGCCTTTGCTTTGCTTGGCACAATATCGTTTGGCTTTGTTTTTTTAACCGTATTATAGTTAATTCGCTGTTTGTAGCATCGTGGCGTAATGCATGCGTTCCTAGGAACTCTGGGGGGCTTTCTAGAGCTCCCAAATTTCCCCAACCGTTTCCCCAAAGTGTTTTTCCAGTTTAAGCAGTAATGTAGCCGTCCCAAGCCATCCGTTGATCCGTAACCATGAGCCAAAGACTCTTTAGTGTATGGGTTATTTTTTACAAGGTCTGGAAGCTTCTGTATTGCTTTATTAGATCAATGCCAAGACCAGAAGGGGTTTCTCGGCTGCCATTCGAGGCATTTATTTTTTTTACCCTAAAGGAGAAAGGCATAACAGAGGGGAGTGGTCAGGAAGCAAACAAAATAATGGTGTAAAATACGGAACAGTTAAACAGTGTAGGGGTTTCTCAAGGATAAAATGTTTGGGAACATGCTGGTGTAGTGAAACGTTCAAAGTGTCCCTTATTGCTGATTACGGCGTTACTTGACTACATTTAAAAATCTGCCGGTTTGCCAATGATACCAACACAAACGTTTCTTATTGGCTAGGTGCCAACAAGTTATATTCGGTACCAAACTTGGTAATGAGCCAAGAAAGCAGTACTAGTAGTTCTTCATACCGTAAATAATTGTCTAGGAGTTTGTTGCCATCTGCGCATCATGCTTCAAATTGCGTTAGCTTTCGCCACGGAATATTGGTGTTGGAATCATCGGCAGTTTTATTCTGCGTTGCAGATAGGGTTGCAATGCATACCTTTATCCAGTCTAATTCGCTAATAGAGCGTAAACAAATTTGTGTAAATAAACCGACGAACTGAGTGCAAAACAACTTCTTCACAAACGTGTCATACTCAAATTTCACGAGTGTAGATTTTAGAAAAAAAAATTGAAGCCGAACAAATCCCGTTTTTTTTTTTTCTTTCCTGTGTACAGGGAGGAAAACGGTACAAACTGTTTCTGTTAACGCCGCCATTTGCAGGTGGCACAACATAAAGAAAGAATGCAAAAGCTCCTTTTGAGATAAACACAAGAAAGCAGATTTGAGTGTGTGTGGCACTGTCTAGCAGCGTCGGCCAGATGGTTTTTACCATTTTCCTGCATCTGCATAAGAAAAAAACGGGCTTTTTTTAGTTAATTTTTTTCCGAAATATACATTCATGAAATTTGAGTATGATAAATGCAAAACCTGAGGACACTCTTGTGAAAAGTTTTAACGCACTCCGTTCATGGAATGATTTATAGTAACTTTTTTTTATGCCCGAATTGCATTTGGAAATGCCCAGTTGGGACACCAATATTCAAAGATACTGTCGTAGAAACAAAATTTCTAATTAGTTTTACCAGTTTAACTACTGCATAGTAAAAGTAGTATGAATGTAATCAAATAAAAAGAAGTTGCTGCGAGCTTGTAGTGGTGGTAGCACAAGCATCGGAAGTGTGCACCATAACTGGGGTTCCGTGTTTTCGGATAAATCCAATAAAATCCGGAAGGCTCCCAAGTCAAATTTTTGTCTATTCGGATTTATCTGAAAAACTGAATTTCAATGTCACGATGGCGAAGATACAGCAACGAAAAACATGGTGCAGGTTTGTGTACAAATATTTGTTTTTCTATTTAATTTTGAAAAATTCCGGCACCCAGCAAAATTAAACTTAGAATTTTCGGACAATTGGCAATCGCTCAAAAATAAACTCCGATAAACAGCATGCAAAAAATTGACTCCGAAAAACAACCACCGAATTTCACGAGAAAAACAAAAACTCCGAAAACACGGAACTTTATAACCATAACATAGAGGCACCGAAGCAGTAACCAGTGTTGACAACAAGACTAGTTGGTGGACCATTATTACTAAACCAGATGGCATAAAAGACATGGACAGTGTAAACAAAGAAGCGCTGTCTTTGTCTCTTTGTGTCTTTTGCATCACATTTTTCTTTTGATTAGGGCCACTAGATAAGCTACACTTTGGATAAACAATATTTAAGTCACCTTGTCGCTTAAAATCATGATTGCAAGCTATGCGAAGCTTTATTTAAAATCATAGGAAACGACGTTTCGTGTTCCAGAAATGTTGAAACAGTCCGCGACGGAGCAAAGTGATATCGCCCAAGGTTTCTGACGCCGCATCTAAAAATCAGGAACCTATAATTTTTAATCGTAACAATTGCCAATTGCACCAACTCTGCACGAGGCAACAAAATGGCGACACCCACAAGACAATCGAGGAATGGAGTGTCAACATGCAAGGCGTAGCTGATCTAGTGGCTCTAGTTTCAATAAAGTAGTCACATCATTTTTTTACAATACACACCGGGCATCTTGCCGTAACCGGCAAGATGCCCGGTGTGTCTACTATGCTATGCGGAGCGTAAGTTTGTCTGCTTTTTGCACAGGGGTTGTGGCGACGTTGGAACACTGAGCTCTGATTGGCAGGATAGTGGGCACACTTCAAGGCAGCCAGCCATGCAGATAGCATTGAAGTCTACGCACTATCCTTTTGATCGGAGCCAATCAGAGATTGGCCTTTTGATGTCGCCGCAACCCCCACACAAAAAGCACACAAACTTGCACTCCGCATAGTCACTGACGGCTTAAGAAATGCAGGGCGTGGCATATCGTGTTCAGGTTTCCTGCCTCGTGATTGGTTCTTTGGGCGTCTGCTTATGCCTCAATCTCATATGCGGTGAAGCGATGATAACATGCTCAGGACTCGCCATGTCCTACACTTCTTAAGCTGTGAGCAACTAAAAAACAAAGAGTGCTTCGTGGTACTGCGTGAACCTCTGCCGCCTGCGTGTGCCGGTGCACGATATCTCTTTGAATTGCACGGAGGGGTTACACACGAGGGCAGCATGTTAGGGTTGCACGCAACTGTTATGGAGGAGATCATTGCACGCATATGTCGCGAGGGTGAAATGTTGCACGAAACTGTTGCGCGCGAGAGGGTTGCAGTCGTTGTGGGAGGCGAGGGTTGAAGTGGAGCGCAGCTGATGGATGCGCAGGAGCAGGCCAAGATCGCCAAGCTGGGGCTGGAGATGAAGCTGCTCACGTCCGAGATGGACGCCGAGACGGAGAAGTGGCCCGCCGCCGAGAACGACATCGTGGGCCGGGCACGGGCCATGTCCCAGATGGCCTTCTCCATGTACCAGTTCACGCGGGGAGAGGGGGACCTCAAGACCACTCAGGTGAGAGCTCCGGCCACAGTGATGCCTGCAACGCGTCTCAGACTGGTGTGCTTAGTGTCCTATGTCTTCCGGGCATCAAAGATGGTCCCGAACGGCAGGAAATGGCATGTCACGAGCTCACAAGTGAATTTTAGGGGGAAGAGGGGGAGGGCAGTGGGGGGAGATTCTCCACTCCCTCCCCCCCTTAAAGTTCCCAAGAGCGCAACCTTTTTTTTTTTTAATGGAAGAAGCAACATATATTAGCTTTCGTTTAGAATCAAATAAATAATTCAGGATAAATAGAAATGATTAGGTCAACAAAATAGATCTGGGTAATGCTTGCAGACCAGATCAGGCAGGCAGAAATTGATGGACCACATTCGAGGACGCACCAAACTTGCCAGTCGGAGACACGTTCGGGGGACCTCATAGTGTGGCTATGCTGCCTAGAGCGGTTTTTCGAAATGCCGGGTTCGATGTCATTGGACTCGACTGTAACTTTGCAGATTTTGCTTAAGAGACGCGATAGGCTGCGCGTGTCATTTACCGTGCCCCAATTTTCTGAGTGGATCACGTGCCAAAGTGTTACGACACTGCAGCCAAACCGTCAAAGTTCTAAACGGTCCCAGAGTTTGTAACCATCGCATTTGGTTCCCTCACTGCAGGATCTGTTCACGCAAGCAGAGTTCTTTGCAGAAGAAGCCAACAAGCTGTACAAGGTGGTACGGCAATTCTCCTACCAGGTCAGTCTTAAGGGGTGACTAAGAATCTTTTAGAGTAAAAAAAATCCCAGTTGCACGGAACTACTATATGCTACTAGTATGTAAAAAAAATCACTGTGCGCACAAAACTACTATGCGCTCATGCACCGACTATGATTATTGTGTTCAGTCTCTAAATGGGGAAACGAATGCTCCAACAGTTCTCGTTTCTTGTACATACATTCAGCAGGAATGGGAAGTCTTGAGTAATATTTATTCCATTTCCTCTTTTTCCTTTGATTCAATCTCCACCCAAAGGATGTTTTCCCAAATTTCTCCCGACCAGGGATTCGGCTCGATAATATTAGGGAAGGACTTGGGCATGCAGTGGTTCCTCATGTAGTCAGCATAATGAGGTTATATACTAACTGCAATGTGTAGTTGAAATAATTAACTAATTAGTTCAGTTATAGCTAGTATTTAATCATCAAAGAATTAACTGGCAAATGCACGAGCATTAATTTAGTCTAAGCATTCGCGCGATGTGTCATCAGTACCTCAGATGCCGTGGGGGGTAGGGGGCTGAATCCAAGCAAGACTGCGACAGTACCTTTTCTGCATTGTAACATGAATTTCCGGTAAGCGATAGCAGCACATCTTGACACCGTGGGATATTATAAAGTCTGGGTTCTAAAACTGGGTTCCAAAGAACACTGGTTCCCCGGAGCACCTCCACGTGTTTCTTGGACACCCAAATTTCTTTGACCGTCCCCAAGCAGTGTTCTTCCAGCTTGGAGAAACTATTTTGGCGGATCTAAGCCATCCATCTGTTCGTAACTTTGAGTCTGACATTTCCGAGTAGTGTGTTCGTTACTGCTTACAGTGCCGAAACTGGGAGGGGTTCCTTGGCCATCCGTCTTGACAAACAAAGCTTCCTCGAGATTCAAAGTTCAGGGACCCCCATTATAAAGAAACTGGAATGTATACTTCATCTGAGCAACTTTAGCGGTAACCATGTATATTTATATAACCGTAGCTGTATTCGTAACTTGTTTAATTAGATTTCAGCTCGAAATGCAAGTCATGGCACATTTTGTCAAATATTTGCTTTATTATTTCACAAAGGAGCTTGTGTCATGCATAAATTATTCTTAACATACTCCGTCATTCAACAATTCCCTTACTCTTGTAATAACGAACAAGTTTGGAGAAAGAAATTATCATATAGTCTGCACTTGTAGATGGTGCACACTGCAAAAACTTTCAACTTTTAAACGTGTATAGTCCGCAGACTATAGTTCGGAACTTACGGTAGTTGGTCCAGCACAGCAGGCTCTCCGAGGAGGTGTTGCCTCCGCAGGCTCTCTCCATTGCGAGCGGAAAAAAAAAAGAATGGAAATGTCCCAAGGTCGTTGCGTGCTCAAAGGTCGTCTGGTGTCCCCGCAGGTGCCCTCCGGAACACACAAGAAAGAACTGCTCGAGTTTCTGGACAAGGTACCGACGTTTGTCCAGCAGCTACAGTTCACGGTGAAGAATCCAACAGTGGGCAAGGCTGCAACCTTCACAAAGGTACGCCGCTCCACATCTTCTTGCGTCCGAGGATACGGTCCAGAATTTACCCGATCACGTTTAGGGGTAGAGGTTTCTTACCCCAGCGTCCAAAAACCTAAGCACTTGCAACCAGCATTGTTTAATAGTCTGACGTCGCGACTCAGCGGTGGCGCTGTTGTCCCACGGTGCATGCGCAGAAGCTTCACTTCAGGCGAATCTGGTTCCTGAGCTTGACGTGGGCATGTTTGTAAACAGTGTTGGTCTATAGACCACAGTCACTGACAAAGAGAGAACGGCAGGGCGCTTCTTTCGAACGCCGAGCCTCCTGCTCGCGATTCGTGCCTTCCGCCATGGTTTGGCTGCATGCGCATGCTCGAGGTCCATGCTCTGCCAGAGCGTCACTTTGTTAGTGACTACGTCTGGTGCAGTATATTGGGTGGCCCTAAAATGCTTCCAGTCCGCATATATAATATAATTTTATGCTTCATTCTTTCACTGTGGGCTCGAACTAATTCTGACAGTGGTATAGGTGAGTGTTTCTCACAGAGAGTATGTAAGTAGATTTGATGTCGCAAACGCAGCAGAACCTTCAGTCCAGTTACACGCAGGTCGTAAGTGTTTCCAGGGCTACAGTGTGTCCTTTTGTCATGAGCAGTTACAAGGAAACGCAGATCTGTGAACCAGCCTTATCTGTGCTATCACGTTATGTGACCGACATGAGCAACTCGGATCTCCAAATCTTACTCGAGTAAGATTTGGAACACAGTCCAAGTGTCTGTCGGAGGGCCCCACCTTAGATGGGAGCATTTCTTTTTGTTGCTGCGGCCTCTGACAAGGCATGTAGCATGCCCTGTCGCCAAAACACCAAACATACGTCGGTCTGAAGAAAACTTTAAAGGGACACTGATAGGGTATTTATGCTTGCCGAGGTTTTTAGCTGTACGTGACATATGAGAGTCCAACTACCCAGAACAGAATTTTTGACTCGAAATTCGGTTTCTTTCCGCCTGAAAACCGCCGATCGAGAACTGGCCGGTTTGAGTCGCGCTCACTCTCTTTTCTGTGGTCACGGGTTGTATTTTAAGGTTTAAACACAACCACCAAATATGATCAAAGTCGTTGGTCAACGAAGGCACGCACACAATATTAAAAATAGAAAACAAATATGATACCCATTTTTGGGGGCTTCTAAAAAACTGCAAATGCGTTGTTTGGGGGGAAAAAGTACCACAGCCACATGACTTCTGCCACCTCTCTCCTCCTCTATATTTCTTCCTCCTCCCCAGTCCAGTTTTGGTTTCAGTTTCGGGCAGTTGCGTTTTTTTACTTTATTAAAAATATATATGACGCTGTAGCAAAATATCGATTGGGCTGTCTTCTGACACCATAATGAATCGCCTGGCAAAAATAAAAAATAAATTTTGGGGGGGTGTCAGTGTCCCTTTAATACGTAGTGAGGGGAGGGGGTGAACGACCCAAGTGATTCTGTTCTCACTCCCAAGACTCGAATGCGAAATATCTGGACACGTGGCCCCATTCCCCTGCGGTTCGGAGCACATGATGCGAAAGCTCACGCTGCAGAACCCAGGGATTTTGAGTTCAATTCCTGCCCTGCCTGTTTCGATCTAGATGAGCATCGTTCTGATGGGTGTAGCACGATTACCCCGCGTGCAGAATCCGTCTCAAAAGCCTCGTGTCATTAGCCTCATATTTCGAAAACCCCACGTTCAATTACCCTGTCCCGCATTCCCCGTACGTGCCAAGAACCCCGTCCTCAATGTTCCCGTCCCACTTTCTTCACGCTTCCACCAACATTGTTCCATGTAGAGGGTCTACAAAGGGTATTTTAAGTAAAAAGAACAACAAAATAAGGTTAACTTGAACTGCCAGAAAACATAGAATGACGCGTGTACAAGTGGCCCATCGCAAAAATCTGCATCACCACCGACGCACCCCGCCGTCGTGCAGGTATACTCGGACACAGAATTATCAAGGTGTCTACCAAATTATTATTTCAAAATTCCCTGACTTTTCCAGGTTTCCCTGACAACTTCAAGTGAAATTTCCTGACCACTGCTGAGGTGGTTAAATATGTAAGACCATTACAACACAAGGCATTGAGCATTGCACACTGTGAGGATCGTTTTGCACGGGCTTAATCCAACTTGCATATTCCGAAACATTCAGGTTCCTCCAGTCCGGATTAAACGAGCACTCTCTTGCCGCCGACATCGTCAGTAAACAGGCCACTTCCGGAAACACGATGAAAACATGACGCTCAATTACACACGTCAATAACCAAATGGCAGCATGACTGCCAGATACACACTTTCGAATACTTCCGGCTTGGATCGGATTGAGGTCTGCGGCTTTTCCATTTGTTACTAAATCTAGTAGCCCTAACTGGCTCTAGCCTAGTGTTGCGCCCTCAATTCAGTCCAGTCCAAGGCTTGTACTGGATTTGTCGGCTGTTCCCTTTGCGTCGGGTAGCACACTCGGCAGAATTTATTTCCTATTTTGCTGCCCCTAAGTCCTCAAGTCTTTGCTCAGGGCACTCAATGGTGTTTCCGGCTCATTTTCCTTGACGTTGCTCACTTCTTCACAATATCCCTGACAATTCTGATTTTTCCCGGTAAATAAAATTTCCCTGTTACTAATTCCCGGGTTTCCCGGTCGATAGACACCCTGATGATAGACTTTATTGGATACAACTAGTCTTTAGGACGACGTAACAATGGAACTGGTGTTTGGTGCTGTGGCAAGTACGGTGCCATGAGCTGCGGGTTAACAGTTTTGACAGAACCCATTCACTTCAACAAAACCATCGGAACTGTGAATCGGTGCGTGCTTCAGAGTCGACGAAAGCTCTTGTTCGATGCTTGTTAATAAAAGCTAGATGTTTAGCCAGTGACTGATATTTCCTGTTTGTTCTAACCACTAACGTCTCAAGACGTGAATGTGCATAGCGCACGCCTGAAGAACGGGAAGCTTTTGCCAGTTATTCCTTACTTGAATTCCGTGAACGGAATTATCTCCCCGCCATCACTTGGAGGATCTGGCCACCTGACACGGGGGATTCACATCATGGGTTTCTGAAACTGAGGCATTTGAAAGTGGGGCAAAAAGGGCGGGGTGTTTGCTGCAGGGTATATTCGACACGAGGTTTTTGACATCGGGTGCTTTCATGCACCACCCTTCTGAGGCTAGCAGCCATACTGCACTGCCTAAATCTCTCATCTACAGCTTGCTAGAAACGGCGCCCGAGCTGAGTCACACAGGCTGAGCGGGACTGAAGTCATGTCTCAAGACGCTCGCACGCTTCAGCCTTTGCTGTGCTTCCTTTCACTCAGTCTCGTCTGAGACGCTGATCTAGCAAGCCGGCCCATCGTCGCCACACCTCAAGGGCAGATTGACCTTACACTGTCAGATCTAAACGGGAACAAAATTCGGTTTTTCGGAGACCTCTGGTTTCCGTTTGGCTCTGCTTTTCACTGCAAATAGTATGCCGCTATTTTGAAGAAAGTTCCACAGCAAAGCATATTCGAGCACAGGTATCGCCTTAAAAGGTTTCATGCGACAAGTGATTCGCGCAACTTGGGATGTCTTGACAGGTACTTGCATTCGTTGTAGGATTACAGAAATTATGTGTGTGCCCCAAATATTGCCAAATTGTGGCATGTCTATGAAAAAGCAAAAAACTCGCAGACTCCCGTAAACATGTTTTGCATCCATGCAGAGCGCAAGTTTGTCTGCTTCTTTTCGGGAATTGCAATGATGTCAGAATGCTGAGCTCTTATTGGCTGATTAAAAAAAATAGTGGGTAGACCTCAAGGCATCTAGCATTGAGGTCTACCCGTTATTCTTCCAGTCAAAGCCAGCTCGGCGTAATTCTGACGTCATTCCAAGTCCTGTGCTAGAAGCAGACGACTTTTTCTCCGCATTGCACGAGCCGGAGTGATACAAGTCTTGCTCGTCACGGTTTCAGGTTGACAACGTTATCCAGGAGACAAAGAACTTGATGAATGTCATATCCAAGGTCGTCACCACCTGCCTAGTGTGTGCAACAAAGGTGAGCCACTAACACCGGGACTTTCCCACTGAAACATGCTCGAAAAGCTAAGCATGCTCAGCTATGCATCCCCCATTACTAATATTGCTGGGTTTGCAACTGCTTTAGCATAAATGGCCCGATGCTTATTTGTGAGTGACTCCCTAACCAGCAGTTCAACTAATTTGTGCGGTGCCATAAAAAAGATGCCCATTTTCAATGTTTTGATAGGGAAAGGTTAAGTTAAGTCAGGTTTTTGGGTTGGAACTTGTTACCTTATACACTATGAGTCCAGTAAGGTTAGGACAATTTAGGCTAGATTAGGGTACTTCGTACATGACTTGAAATGATAAGCGCCAAAAACACGAGGTTGCTTCGCGATCTCCGGTCCCTTTTGTCATCGTGCATGTTTTCGGCACTTATAATTTCAGGTTAGGTTAGCACGGGGTAGATGGGAGATTTGTGGCGTTATGTTCTGTCCGACTACTTCTGTAGGCTCGGTTAGGCAAGGGCAGGTCACATCAGGTCAGGTGAAGTTACGGTAGGTAGGTTAGGTCAGGTCAAGCTAGGTTCAGTTGTACCCTTGCCACATGGTAAAATTTAATGAGAGTTCCATCAATCAGCATTACCTGATCGGCACAGGGCCAAGCATGTGCGACGCACGTCAGTATCGCGAGCTGATCTTCTGAATACTTAATGTCAGTCCAGGGTACTGACATTACATTTTACCATATCGGGGGTATTAGGTTACAGTAGTTAGGTTAACTCAAGTTAAGATAGGTTAAGTTTTGTTACATTAGGTCAAGTTAGGTTATGTTATGTTAGGTCGTCAGGTGAGGTTCAGTTAGGTTACAGTAGGTTAGGTTGGTTTAGGTTATGTTCACTAAGGTTGTTAAGTTTTGTTAGGAGGTTAGGGCAAGTTAGGTTAGGTTAAGGTAGGTAGATTAGGTCAGGTTAAGCTGGGTTAGGTGAGGTACGGTTAGGCCAGGTCTTACCTGGGTCCGAAGCGCAAGCCTACCAGAGCCAGGTAGGCTTACGCTCGAGAAGGTGCGCGGTCCGCCTTGGCTAATGCCCCGGCCGTCTCGGCAGTACAACCTGGACTTCCGGGGCTCGGAGATGGGGCGCGCCCACTCCCAGTGCGGCTACCAGGAGGAAGAGTACAGCTACAGCGACGGCGGCGGGGGCGCCCTCTCGTCCAAGGGGGGCCCCGGCACCGTCAGCTCGTCCGACCCGGGCATCTGACAGTTTGGGATGGGTCCTCGGAGGCCCAAGCCAGACGCCCGCCGCACCAGGGTGTCTTTTTTACTCTTTTAGGGTCAAAATCCAAGCGGGACTAAGCGGGCCCGGGACGACCGGCGGGTAGGCGCCGCGTGGGCGCTGTGCGCGACTCGCGTGGTCGTGCGCACGCGTCTTGCGAACCTCGCCTCCCGCTGCGAACCTCGGACGCTCGGTTGTTCTGCCCTGACCACCGACCGCGGAGTTTGTTACGTCTCATTTTTTTGTTGACCGCCGTTTTGGAAAGTTGCTGTCGGTTAGGCTTAGGGCTGAGTCTTAGGCCTAGTGTAGGCCCAACACCCGTCTAAGCCTAGCTTCTGGCCGATTGGCACAAATTGGGTAGGTTAAGCCTCATGCTGGTCTTGGGGCCTACTTTGGGCCTTGTGGCGTGCAGGCTGAGCCCCCTTGACCAAAATTACGTGCCTTTTAACCAACTTCCCACCGATTCTTGATAGGAGATTTTTTTATATGACAGTTGAATCGGACACTTCCTTCTTTGTGCACTTCAAACGAGGTAACAAAAAAATGTCTGCCGAAGTTGAGAAAGTTTTAGTCGTCCTGTTTCGACTTTGAATTGCTAAAACAAGATGGCGGTCTGTCGGCGGTCAGAGCAGATGTAGTCTTGTCTGTCCTGCCCTCGACGTGTGCCGCCCAGTCGCCGGCACTAATTCTACTGCTCTTAAGCCTAATCCGGATCCACAGTCTAAGCCTAAACCAGAACCCAATGTAATTGTTCCGAGTCATATATCGGACAAAACCGTGAACTTCGAACCTAAAAAAAAAAAACTCTCCAATGCGATCTTTGAAACCTGGGAAAGGCTCTCACTTTCCCGCCCGAAAACGAAGCAAAAGACGACAATTGACGCCTGCCTTTCCATGCCGGTTTGCAGACTGCGCGCCTGCACGTCAAGCTGCGGGTGGGTTTTGACCCTGAAACGGTTTCCCCTCAATCACCATCATTCCCCATTCAAAGCGTGCGACATTACAAGCTCTCGGTTACTCATGTACCCCCCGGTGCGCTCCCCAAGCAGACAACGCTTTTACGACGCGTCTGCGACGCCGAGACGAGCGCAGAGTCGACCGCAAATGCCAACTGTGCGATGTCAGGGAGTGCAACTTCACTCAGGGACGACGATGAATCTGTTGCATAAAAAGCTTATGAGTTGTAATGGCTGTTCTGAAACATTTAGGGTGCTTGATGCATAGAATGCGAGTTAATTTTTTTTAATGTTAGTTATGTCTTTATTTACTATTTCTTTTACAGTATCTAGCAACATTTGGTAGGAAGCAGTTCACTGCTAAGGTTTGCAGGAAAACAGACAGGTGCAATTTCCCCGCTGAATTTAGCGAGGAAATACAATTTTTGAGGGCTTTTTTTGTTTTGTTTTTTATGACGTTTTAGCCCTAAGCATATTGTGTAAAAAAAGGACTGCCAAGGCGATCAACATGCTTTAAGCGGCGAGTTAGGCCTAACTGCTGTCACAGGCACCATTTTCAAACAGCGTTGCCAGCTGTAGAGCTTACATTGATAGGGCCACATGAGCAAATGACGTTTTAGCAAACAGTGACGATTTAGCAAATTGACGTTTTAGCGAATAACGGGGGTGCGTGTTAACCCCCTCCTTGCGCTATGCTTACGCCGCCTCGCGGCGGCAGTCTGCGGCGGCTCATTGCAAAAATGTTAAACCACCTGTAAACTCTTCGCTAAAATGTCATTCGGCAAAACGTTGGTGTTTGCTAAAACGTCATTCGATCGAGTGAGTGCCTCCCACATTGATGATGGTTAACAGGCTTTTTCATTGGAAGTCTCTCATTTGGCAGCATTAATTCCCAATAATGTACAATAAATGAACAAGCTGAAGATGCATCTTGAGTGAAGTTACACTTGTCCTCATTAAACTTGTCAGCTTCATGATTTACGGTATTTTGCGCTTGCATCGTCGTCGTGGACACTTTTGTCACAAGAATTTTTTGTTTTTATTGTGATGAGACTTTGTTTACTCAAACTGCTGGAGACTTTGTTCAAATCCTAAACCCTCGTCTAATACCACCTTCGGTATTAATTTTGTTTCGTGCGGTTTGTGCACCTATGTGGAACTGTTTATGTGCTGAACATTCAACTGCTGGATTACAGTTCTCATGTACATGAACCGAGCATTTGTGGAACCACCGTGGCTTGCATTGGAGAACCATTACCGAGTGACTTTATGTTTTGGAAGGGTATATTCAATAAGCGCGTTCCAAAAGATCAAGATATATGCCACGCAGTGTTGGAAAGTGGTTAAAGGGGCGATGCAACTATTTTTGTACTTTGCGCAAATACCGCTTAGGACGGATCCCTGAAGTTGATGACCTATGAAATACGCGTTCGTTTTTCACCCCACACCAATAGGAGTCCCAGAAAAAAATTAAAGAAAAACGAGCAACGTTCACATCCTCAACTCGTAGCCAGAACAAGCGGCCACGTTATCTGGAGCCGATTATATGCCGCCAATGTTGATGATAGCCGTGCGCTGGGGTTGGCAAAGCGCAGGGAACACGCTGAGTTCCAGACATTGTTTTGGCTCGGCTACTGTCATCGTTGCAGCGATTGGACACGGGCCACTCACGAATGCCTCTCGAGCTAGTAATTATCACGAACCCAAATCGAGTGCTCACGCAATGCTCGGGTGCATTCTATGAACCGCACTCAAATATCGTCATATGGGGTGTACTGCGATCCCCACGTTGCGTCATAAAATTTTGCAAAGGAGAGATTGAACAAAAATTATCGTTTTTGTCCTTGAAATTACACCGCAACAAAGGAGTTTCTTGGCCAGTGGCGTTGCGTGCGAGTATACCAGAGTCCCACTAGTGCCAGCAAGCTCGTGTAAAGTGAAAAACATTCCAAATGAATATCGTTGCACCGCCCCTTTAAGTTACTTTGTGCTTAAGCTTAGTGCATAGCAGCACTAGCATATCAGGCAAATTGGAAGCACATTCCAGAAGCATCTACTAATTTTGTTTTACTTTATAAACTATTTTTCAAATACTTTCCAAGTAAGATACAAATCTTTGCTGAGACATCCAGTCTGTTTTTGTTGCATTCCTGTTTTGTTTGAGATGTGCTTTAGGGAAACAAGAGTACTTGGGTCCCTCCTCAAAACTACTAGGTTGTTTTGATGCATTTCACTCTTAGTATGTATTATCTAATGTACTTTAAGTACAAATACTCCCAGTTGCTTTGTACTTTGAGTGCTTTTGACACATGCTTGACCCACTGATGTGAAGTAACATTATTGCATGAATCATTCCAGACAACAAAAGTGCAACTTGATGGTTATTCTTTGGCATTTGTAGACAGTGCTACAAAGGGCCTTTTTGGTGAACTGTGGTTTTATGAGAACTGTCAAATAGGAAAAATATTGCTTGATGTCCTCTGTTCTTCAAAACTTTGTTGTGAATAACCTGGAAATATGTTTGAACAGAAGGAATGGTTTACGACAGTGACACATTACGCCGAAAGTAGTGTTGTATCATACGGCTTGGAAAGCAGCCTATGTTGAAAAAGACTCTATGAGGCAAATGTTGGGGATGACAGTGTTTCAAAACATTTGTATATTGACCTTTGTCAGGGATTTACAACAACAAGTATATATACTTTACCACCCTTAAGTACCTTAGAAACCTAAGCAGCCTGATATACCTTTGTCATTACAAAATTTTCTTCCACAATGAGATCTTGGACAGTACTTGGTCAGTCTTTATGGCACACAGTTGTTAAACTGCTCTGAACTGACTTTAAAAAAGAAAAGCAAATATTGTCCCGTTTTTTTTATTTCTTTTTTTTTGGAAAAGCATTACCGAAGAAAAGGTTAGACCCATTTGGAATCTTAAAACTAAGTCTTTAAAGAACTGTATTTATGTGTAACCTTTTCTTCAAGTTCATGTAATGTTGGTTCTTCCAAGAACTGTCTTTAGACCTACGGTAAGCTTTTCTGTCAAGTTGTTAAAAGACTTTGCTGTTATCATAAAAAAAGATTGATGATTTCAAGCTCCAGGAAGTTTCGAAAAGTCACTGCATAAGGTAACCCCTAATGTTTCGAATTTCTAAGTACTTCTAAGATCTCTTCTAAAAAAATGTTCATTTGCTATTCAGAAGAGTTAGCCACCTGCAGTAGTGAAGAGTAAGGAACCACTGACGAGAACTGACCAAGATGTCATTAAAATAAGTAACTTGAAAAACGTGCAGATCCCCTAGGCTTCCTGTTAAGTGAGAGGCACGTACAGTAGTCTTCCAGAGCCACCTTACTTCTAAGTGAACACCTTTCAACATTTTTCCACCTCAAGATTTCGAGCGTCTTCCTTGAACTTACACTGCGCACCAAGTGCGATATCATTTTGTTTGTCGCAGAAGTGACAAAGCAATACAGGAATTACGTCGTTGCGTTTCCAGGGTATGTACAGATTCGTTCCAGATGTTACAGCGAGGCTTATTACGGCAGAGTTGTAATCGCAATGTCGTTGCATCAAAACATACCAACAAGCTATTCCACAGGGTTGGTCGGTGACGATTCATGTCTTGAAACAAGATTTGGAAAACTGAAATGCTGCTATGCATGCCCTGCAATGTTTGGACAATGACAACTTTGTGATTTTGGTACTTGCTCCAATTGGACCTCTTGTTCAGCTAATTTGGAATTGTAGTACTTTTCCCCAGTCGTTGAATGCCACAATTTCTCTTGGAAGCTTTTTCGAATGTGTGCGTCAAATTGCAATTATTCTGCAATATTCAAGCTATTCGCCGTCGCAATTGATTAGCTTGCTCGTTGTAATGTTCGACACGCTACGGTTATCCAGCCGAATGGAAAACGTTGAAAGCATTCCGACGCCCACGATCCTGCAAGAAAGAAGTGTCGTAGATTCTTGTTGATTGTCATCGAATAGCTCAGTTTTGACTCTTCCGCTGAATTACCGTCTGCCGAAGGGAAGCACCACGTCACGAATTATTTTACCTCATCTCATACGCAGTGCAGAGGAGAGGAGAGAATCCAAACAGACAAACGCTCAGACGTGAGCGGAAGCGTATAGAACCCTTCTGCGGATCGGTCCAGGATGGCAACCGGTTCCTCAGAAACCGCGCACTCCCCTTCCCCTGCCAACATTGCGAAGGTGTTGTTAGAAAGCGCATTGTCTCAAGTATACATCAAAGTCACATCAATCTCCTAGACGACCGTTTCACACTATCTTCCCCCCAACGTACTCAACGACCGACCGTAGAGGAACTCTGCGTTCGGCAAATGCGAGCAGAGTCGCTCCGCCTTCGTTCGTGGCCGGCCAACGAACAACTGCACAGCACTTTTCGAAACCTTTGCGCTTCTTTTTTTGTCGGTTCAAAGCTTCGCTTGCGGCCTGACAGCACACTCAATCTCGCGTTTAGTTCTTCACGTTAAAGGAAGTCTTATCTCGCGCAGCGGAGGAACCGACTGGGTTCATTTTCTCGGCAGATTATGACGAAAACGTCACGAGCATCAGTAAACTGGGGCTTTACAGAAAGTAGGCATCCACAAACTTGCACCTGGACTCATTATAAATACAGTCGCATTATGGAGTAGCCCGTGCGCTCTAACTACAAAGAGGCGTATCTGAAAATAAAACGTTTGAGTCCTTTCGAAAATAGTGACAGTTAGCGTGGCACTCTCAGCACTGCGGCTTGTTGACGAGACGTCACCCAGCTTCAGCACTGCCGTCGCTACACTTGGCTTATGTGCGCCGAATATATCTGTAACTATTACGAGCTGAACAGTCAGTGTTGGCAAGTATCGGCATTCATAGAACATAAGTGCACAGATGCTTCGGATTTGGGCTACAAAAAATTTCAATCCAAGTACGAAGGCTGCCGATAATGAAGCACCAAATTCACTTTATCGCAAGTCCAGGGGGCATTGTTGGAGCTAGCCTCGTAAGGAAAAACTGAAATTCAAATTCGACAGATGAAACTAAATTTTAGAGCCGCTTTACGGGGAGGCACTCGAGACGCGCATTTCTTTTCTTTGCGCCCAGCGGCTTCGGAATGCCAGTTTCTATGCAGCCGCCAACTTTCTGCAAACCCCCGTGTTACT